TGGCCTTGAACTCACACTGTAGCTGGCTTTACCCTCCACGTTGCCACTTCCTGTGGCCTACAAGTGCTAGACGAAGGAAATAAAGGATGCATGGGTTGCCCGAATGCCTGCCCTCCCTGACTTTATTCTGTGTGTTTGTCTATTGATCTGTCTCTGTCTTTATTCTCATGCATATAGTCTCATTCTCTGTCTGTCTGTCGCTCTTTCTCTTCATTCTCCCCACTCCCCACCTGTTGGAGAAGTCCTGTTATTTGCCTGTTATTTGTCAATAAAGTACTGTTGAGCCTATAGGAATCTAGATAGGTGGGGCTAGGAGTCCAGGAGGATTCTGGGAAGGAGAAACACAAGAGAGTTCGAGATGTAACCTCATGGGTAGGAAGCCCGGAACTATTCTCCGGTAAGAGACATACTTAGATTAACAATTATGGGGTAATTACTTAAAGCAGAGCTAGCCAGTAAGAGACAAGCAAGGCCAACAGCTTCATAATGAATACAGCCTCCTGTGTGTTTATTTGGGACTGATGTGGATCTGGAACCAGGCGGGCAGGAAGGCTCCTCTCAAAGAAAAAGCTTCTCTTAACAGATCCACCTCCCTATTTTAGTTCTCCTCGACTCTCTTGTCTTTCTTTTCTGCTGCACTACCTCTGCTGGGCTGTACTCCCATAGCAGAGTCAATTCCTCACATACTGGGATTTCCCAGGGAGGCAGAAGAGCAGGGAGAGACAAGGATGGGGGAGGAGGGATGACAGCAGAGAGGAAGGAAGCGGGGTAGGGGTAGTGACCAGAGGAGGAATGGGGCCCAGCTGCTGGGATGCCCACACCCCACAGCTCTATGAACACCACTTAGTTGGGCAGGATGTGTTAATCCCAGCTGAGGAAGTAGGACCTGAGGCAAGGAGTCCCCAGGATGGGCACAGATCCCAGACATTCAAGCGGTCTGCTCCTGACTTCCAGGAACTGGGAGGACTTGGATCCTAATAGGGCCTCCCTGAGCCATTCCTCCCCCACACTCAACATTCCCGGACACACCTATATCTTCAAGAAAGACTCCTAAGAAACCACTCAGTGGAGGGAGTTTGGCTCTGTGCCTCTGGAAGGTAGCTGTCCCAGACAGAGGCCTAGACATTCTCCAGGGATTTTCACCACGTCCATCCTTTTCCCACTGGAGGAAAAACAAAAAGCAAGGAAAAGAAAGAGGACGAGGACTGAGAGTTTCATTAGCGCTCTCTGTCTCTGCCCAGACAAGCAAAACAGGAGGGATCTTGGTTTCCATAGAGAAGACTGAAGGCCCAAGAATAGTAGTATCCCATCCAGAAAGATGCAGCAAGGTTGTGGGCTAAGTTGAGCTGGCTGACCAAATAGGTGTTCTGAATTAGGAGGTGTCTTTCTATGGTAGGAGACAGGGGCCTGTACACCTCTGTGTGTGGGAAGAAGAGACAAGGCCTGGACCCATGATCTGAGGGAGGAGGCTGGGACATGGACACTTGAGTGTGAGGGAGGTGAGGTAGGATCCCTGGGTCTGAGGGAGGAGGGCTGGGATCTGGATCTCTGAGGCTGAGGGAGGAGGACTGGAACTTGGACCTCCATGTTTGTGGGAGGAAGGTTAGGGTCTGGACTTCTGGCCTTGACACTGGAAAGAAAAGAAACCCTGGTTCACATTTCTTAAAATTATTTTTATTCTTTGTAAAATTTTACATATATACTGGGGATTTGTACACACGTGCTAGGGTACACAGCTGAAGGTCAGGGGACAGTTTGTGATAGTTAACTCTTTCCTTTCACCACATTGGCCCCAGGGATCCCACTGTGGGAGGTATCATTCCCTAGGCATATGATGCTGGGTTGTATAAGTAAGTTAGCTGAGCATGAACCTTCCAGCAAGCATCATCCTCCATGGCTCCTGTCACACTTCTTTGGTGGTAAAGTGAGCTTCTTACTTGTAAGTAATGTTGTGTGGTTAAGGTAGCATGCTTGCTTTCAAGTTCTTGCCGTGAATTCCCTTGATGATAGCCTGTGGCCTGAATTTTTAACCCAAATATACCCTTTTTCCCCTGAAAGTAGATTTTTGTCAGAACAATAGAAATGAAATTAGACCTACTGCCCATCTTGAGTACTCCTCCTCCCAATGCACCATCACCTTATTGCTTAGGATTTCCACGGTGGCTTTTAGAGGGACACAACCCCTGGTTATATTATAACGCTTGCATGCCATTGGAAAGACTCATTCCCCAGAACCTCTCTTTCATCATCTATAAAATGAGATTCTTTGTTGTTGTTTTTCAAGACAGAGTTTCTCTGTGTAACAGTCTTAGCTTTCCTAGAACTAGCACTGTAGACCAGGCTGGCTTCTAACTCACAGAGATCCAGCTGCCTCTATCTCCCTAGTGCTGGGCTGGGATTAAAGGTGTGAGCCATCACTAGTCCGAAAAAATTTAAGTCGTCCTTCATGGCATAACCCATAAGCAAGCAAGAGTCTGCCCAACACAGAGGTGATGAAGTGATGTTATCCATTTGTGGAGATTGCTTGTGCCAAGCTGTCGCCACCATACCAGTGAGAGACTCCAACTCAACATTTTTAGACCCCTAGAAACTAGCCCATCCCAGAGTAACTTGTCCTTCTGCCCTCTCCTGAGAAACTGGTGACCTCAAGATAAACTTAAAAGATGACACTCCCTGATCCAGGAAATAGCTCACCACATTCCTGATCAATGTTTAACTGTACAAAGCCCAAAGAATGCTTGCTTGAGATAACCTATAACCTTCCCGTTAAGACATGAGCTATCATTTAACTTCCTCATCCTTTATGATGTTTACCTAACTTCCCCATCCTTTATGTTTGCCTAACTCCCCCATTCTTTATGGTTTTTCTTTTTTAAAAAACCCCAACTGCAGCTACTGGAGGTCGAACTCCTCTGCCCCTGCGAGGGTTACGAGCTCGGCCCCAGTGTACTGGTTCCCTGAATAAACCTCGTGTGCTTGTGTCAAGAATGGTCTCTCTTGAATTATTGGGGCATCGACTTGAGTGAGGGTCTCCCCACTCTGGGGGTCTTTCACCAGACAGAAGCAAACTCAAAGGAGGCAAGATTTACGTTGGCCCATGTTTTTCAAAGGTTTCCGTCTGTCACAGTGCGAAAAGCATGTCAGAGCAACTGAGTTCATGGGAACCAAGTGGTAGAGTCGGATTGTATCATGGCATGGGGTGAGGGGGAGCAGGGGCTGTGAATTACCTGCAAAATCTTGCCCTAGTGACCTATCTCCACTTGCTAGGCCTGTATTAGCTATTTTCTATTGTTTTGATGAAATACTCTGAAAAGCAATTGAATAAAGGAAGAGTTTTTAATCTCGGCTCATAGTTGCCAAGTACCCTCTGTCATGACATGGTAGCAGGAACTTGAGGCAACATTGTAATATAGTAGGGAGGCAGAGGGCCTTGAATGCTGTTCAACTCAGTTTGTTGTCTGGGATCACAGCCCTAGTTGGAATGGTGCCAGTCACAATGGGAAGTCCTTCCCACCTCAGGTGACCTAACCAAGGTAACCTCTACAGGCATAGCCAGAGGCTAACCTAATCTAAAGAATCTCTCACAGGAGTGGTAGAAATTTATCTCCTAAGTAATCATATTCTGACAAGTTGGCACCATCACAACACCACCCCCCCAAAAAAGTTGACAATCTTCCCAATTAGCATCGCTAGCTAGAAGATAGTGGAGACAATGCAGATTGGAGCTACAGCCAGTGAACCAGCAGTAGTCACTGGGGGTGGGGGTGGGGGTGGTGATGAATGTGCTAGGCTAGGAGCAGAGACAAGATTGTTTCTTCCTTAGCTGTATCAGCTCTTATCAGAAGAGTCAGCCATGTGGAAATTTTAAAGAGCCTGTGTTCACACTTGATTCCCAAGACTGGTTGCCTTGGGCCAGCTACCCTAATTCCTAATATCCTAATTCTTTTCCTTATGCACTTTAGACCACAAGACCCAGCCACTGTATGTGGACAGCCTTAGTTCCTGGACTGATATTTCTCACTTCTGGAGTGAAGGGTAAGGAGACCATCCTTCTTCTCAGGGCTACTAGAGGAGATTGCTCAGTTGGGAAACTTGGAATGTTTCTGCAGATTCTGCAGCATAGACAATAGATACTTAAAGGGGTGCATGGGAGGGCCCATATGACAGATGCTAGGGCCTAGAGGCCACTTTTGTGGCAAATGCTTTAGTTACCCACAACACTGACATTCACAGTGAGACAGAAAAAGGGATAGAGTGGTGTCATGGTTTCCTCTCTACTGTTGAGATTTGAAAGATAAGGCAGAACCGCCACTTTGGATAGCAGAGTGACAATAGCGTAGCAGCAAGAGTAGGTAGGGTTTTTATCCCATCTTCCCTTGTCTTCCTAAAGACATGCTGTACAAGAAAGGAATGCAATTACCCACAGCCCCCCTCTGTTATTGCATTAACCAGGAAAATTAAACTGTACACTGAGGGATGAGCGCCATCCTGAAGATCAGGTAAGTGTTTTTCATGAACACTGTCTACTCTTCAGGGATACTCATGTTCTGTAAAAGTCATTTTCTCTTCCTCTAAATGATCCTCAGTCCTCACTTCTGTTTTCTATAAAGAAAGGTATAAACAATTCTAAATCTTATAAATCTTATAGAATATTCACTTTTCATTCTGAGGATACCTCCTTGTGTATTCCTGGAACAAAGGTGACTTTTTTTCTCTTCTAATTTGTCTACTGTTTGATTATTTCTGAAATTCAAATGTCAGATTTACCTTCTGTCTCTATATCTGTCCCAGCAGATTCCCAATCAACTGACGGACTGCAAACAGCTCCACACTGAGCTTCTGATGGAATTTCCAAAAAGGCTGTCTATATCCAAGACAGCTCCAAAGCTGCTAGCCCCAGGTGGTCCAGCCTCACAGACTGCTCCAAGATGGCCTTCATTTCCCTAGCCCCAGATGGTTCCACAGAGCGTGGACAGCAAGTAAAACAGCCAGCACTCTCCTTTCTCTTTCTTCCTGGTCTTGGCCAGCATTGCAGCTTTCTTGGGTCCCCAAAAAAGATGCTGCAGTGTCAACAGGAAGGAATCATAGGAAAGATCACATCACTTCATATCTTTTATTGTTAACAAAGAGGCCAGGATGTTAGTATCAAACTCCAGAAAAGTGGCTAACTGAGGTGCCTATCAAAGTGGACCTGACCTCTAGGTTCTTCTAGCATCCCTAAGTAACTACTTGTTAGAGTGTGTGGTTGACATACCCTTCCCCTCTACCCTAGACTTCTCCAGTCCAGAAGCAGGGCTCACCTTCCCTATACAGTCCTGCCATTTTGGTTGTCTGGCCCTTTTTGCCTATCCTTTGCCTTCCTTGGTCTCCTGGCTCTCCCCTCCATGCTCTTCTCACATGGCCTGGCTCAGGATCATGTTCACTCTGGACTCAGATGTCTCTGCCTCTGGCTATGTTCTCTCTTTTATCTACAGTAAGCCTCCACCATACCTGGGAGCATTCATGTCCTGCTTTTTTATTTGTTAGGAAAGAAAATTGTTTCCTTTCTTTCTCTTTTTCTCCCTCTCTCCTCTCTCTCTCTTTCTCCCCCACTCTCTCTCCCTCTCCATCTCTCTCTTTCTCTTCTCTCTCTTTCCTCCTCTGTCTCTCTGTCTCTGTCTCTGTCTGTCTCTGACTCTCTGTCTCTGTCTCCTGTCTCTCTCTCTATCTGTCTCTCTCTCTCTCTCCTCTGAGACAGGTCTTTTATAGCCAGGTTGGCCTCAGACTCTCAGTGTATCTGAAGACCTTGAGTTACTGATCCTCCTGCCTTTACTTCACAGAGAGTGTTGGGATTACAAGTGTGCACTACCGTGCCCAATTTCATGAGGTGCTAGGGATCAAACTCAAGGTTTCACCCATGCTAAGCAAACCCACTCCCAACTGAGCCACATCCCCGGCAGCTCTTGTCTTCTTATCCAATGAATCTGTATATCATCCTATGAGCTCCAAAGCAGTGATTAAAAACAACAACAAAACCCAAGTTTTTTTTTTAACATATATGTATGCACACCTGAGTACAATGCCTCCAGAGGCCAGGAAGTGTCACTGGGTTCCCTGGATCTGGAATTACGGATGGTTGTGATTCTGGAAACTGAACACAGGACCACTAGATGAGCAGCCAGTGAGTCCTGAAATCATCCAAAGCTCTGGTACATTTGTTGGTATTCAGATTTAAGGACCTCTGTTTTACATTTCTGTGAACCCCAGAACTCTTGATGTGCTATAAAATTTGGAGATCACATGACTAGGGAAAATTGGTCCTGAGGTAAAATAACATAGTCCAGTCTATTAATTCATAAATGACATTGACCTGGGTGCAATTTCTCATTTAGTATTCTCCAGAAACATCTGAGGGAATTGTTATAATGCCCATTTTAAAGGAAAAGAAACAAAGACTCTGTTATATTCAGTGTCCAGAAGAATCCCAATAGTCGTTGGAGATAGGAAAGGGTGTAAAAGATCTTAGGGGAACACAGGGAAGATGTAGAAGAGAGAGCGCATTGGAATAAGTGCTATGAGAGCATCAGTGGGGACTGTTTGAGTGGTAAGGATCAAACTAAAATAGCACCTCCAATCTGAATATGCATACGACATATGCTGTAACATCAGAGAGAATATGACACTCCCATTTCTCTCCTGTGACTCTTGGAACAAAGATTACATCACGGAATGCACACTTTGTATGTAGTAAGCCAGTCAATGGCCTCCCAAAGCAAGTTTCGGTGCCCAGAATCTGAGGACACTGGTCCCATTTGCAGACATGATGAGCTTAAGGACTCTGAGATGAGCTCATCCTGTGCATAGGGTGGGTCCCAAATGCCGACACTGCTGAGAAAGTTTCGGGAAGACACGCTGAACCGTGACACATCTATGAGCCAAGCGTATTCATTTGTTGTAGCTTCTGTGGTAACGAAGGCTGGTGAGACAACAGAAAATTGCTACTGCACAATTCTGGAAGCCACAAATTCAAGATCAAGGTGTTACTGATTCCTCCTGACTCTGTGAGAGAGGTTCTGTTCCAAGCCCATAACTTAGCTACTGTTGTTTTTCTCTCTCTCTCTCTCTCTCTCTCTCTCTCTCTCTCTCTCTCTCTCTCTCTCTCTCTCTCTCTCTCTGTGTGTGTGTGTGTGTGTGTGTGTGTGTGTTGATGTCCAGATATCTCTTTACGTAAGGATTCCAGTCATACTGGCTTACAGCTCCACCCTGCCCTGGTATGATGCAATCTGAATTTAAGTAATTATATCTGCAGTGATCCAGAATGCAAACAGGTGGCATTCTGAGGCACTGTGGGTTCGGACTTCCACACAAGAGAGGTTGTGGAAATGCCAAGGAGTTGCTTGTAGCCAGCGAAGGGTGTGGTTTTTTCCCTACAGAGATCCCAAAGCAGAACCAACTCTGGTGAAATCTCAGTTTCAGATTTCTAGATTCAGAAGTGTGAGACAAGATATTTCTAAGGTGTTAAACCATCACTTAGTTAGTGGTAACTAAGATACTAGCTCATTTCATTACTTGGTACACATAGGCATGTGAACCAGTCTCTGGCATTTCCCTGGACACAGAGACCTTCCTTTTCTAAGGTTATCAGGACCGAATTGGTTCATGGAGAAGTTTCTTTTCCCTCAAGTTTAAAGATTTCAGAATAAAGACTTCAGAAATATGCTCCAATTAGTTGGTTGCTTAAACCAATGTTTCTCAACCTGTGGGTTGCCACCCCTTTGAGTCAGTTTGTAACAGGGAAACGTACATCTGGCATATCAGATGTTTAAATTATGAGTCATAATTAGCAAAATTACAGTTATGGTGTAGAAATGAAGTGATTTTATGGTTAGGGGTCACCCAACATGAGGAACTGTATTAAAGGCCACAGCATTTGAAGGTTGAGAACCACTGGCTGTAAAGACTCAGGCACTATGCTGGCCTGCCCCTGTCACCTGGCAGAATGCACTCAGTTAGTACCCAGATCAGGGTTCCATGACTGTGTAGTCTGCAAGCAGGCGCCAAGGACCTCTGTAAAAGGCAAACCCCGCCCACTTATGCTCTCTTTCCCACTCTCCAGCTCTCTCTTCCCTGCAGTTCCCCTGGGGCAGACAGGACTTCTCCTGTCCCCCTCTTCTCTTCTGTCCTCTCTCTGTCTCTGTGTCTCTTCACCTCTTTTCTCTCTCCTCCCCTTCCTCCCCTTTCTAATGAAACTTCTCACTTAAGTTCTGTCTGCCTGGCGCGTTTGTCCCCCACCTCAGTCACCCTCGCCTGCTATGGAATCCGCCATGGTCGCCCATGCAAGATCCCCTCAAGCTTTATCACAACACCGGCCTAAGCAGATACGACCAGAAAGAATGAGGATGAGACAAGCAGGTCAGATGGAAAGTGTTAGGACAGGGAGGTTGGGTCTCAGAGACTACAGAAGATGGAGAGAGGCCAGACTGTCTCCAGCAGGTGGAAGCTAACATGTTCATGGTGGTTGTGATTTATGCTAAGGTCCTGGCTGCCCACTCAATATTTATGAGCTGTAATAGAAAGCTCTCCTGTGATACTTGTGATAGACAGCAACCAGGTTGGAGGAAACAGAGGTCTGAAGAAGTTGGACTGAGGTCATATGGGTAGTGAGGAAGCTAGGGTCTAAACATGGCTCTTACAGATTCCAAAGCACATGTGCGGTCTATCTTGCGGTATGCTGGAAAGTGATTAACAATTGGCCTTCTAGAGAGAAAAAAAATCCATGTGTATGTGTAAATGTATATGCCCAATACTACTTGCTATTTATCTCCTGACAGCTGGGCATGTCAGATGCACAAAACCATGCCTGGCTTTTTTGGTTCTGGGGATCAAACATGGGAATTTGTGAATGCTAAGAAAGCACTGTACCAACTTAGTATCTGCAAATTCAACATTAAATTTTCTAATGCTATGGCCAACAATCATGTTACAATATCAAACCACAAATATTAAACTGCATCTCAGCCCCCAGAAATGGTTTGTTTCAGTAGTTTTCCTGACCCCTGTACCAGCTCATCCTGTCTTATTTACTCAGATGCAAAGTCATTCTAAAAGCTAGCCTTCGTTTTCCTACATGCCAGGAAACACTCTCTTCTGCCTTCTCTACTTATTTCTCTCTCCCCCTCCTTTCTGTCCTTCCATTCTCTCTATTCTCAGTAAAATGAATGAATGAATGAATGAGTGTATTTCAAGTGTCGTGTACACAGAGAACATACTTAGCACAGAGGGTTTCTTGATAAACGTTCACAGAGTTAACATGCCTCTGTTAATATACCCATGTTAACAGTTCCAGGTCAGGGAGGAGACAGTCCTTCTCAGTCCCTACTTCAAGCATAAGCATTGTCTTATCTATACTTGTTGTGTGTTTCCCCGGTGCCAAGCCTGCAGATATTTAGGCAGCTGAAGCAGAAGGATAGTAACTTCTAGTCAGGGTGGACTACAGAATGAGTTCAAGACTATCCTGAGCAACTTACTGAAATCCTACCTGAAAATAAAAAAAATAAAAATAAAAAAAGGACTGGAGCCAGGTATGGTGGTAGATACCTTTCATCCTAGCACTCAGTTGGCAAATGCAGGACAATCTGTTATCTTGACAGCCAGGACTACATAGAGAGACTCTGTCACCAAAGACCAATTAATTAATTAATTACAAAAGGAAAAATGTAAGAAGGCCTGCAAAATGCAGCTCAGTAGCAGAAATATTCCCTATATGTCTCCAGGAAGGGTGTGGAGTGTCACTAGTTAGTAGAGTCCCTACGTAGAATCTCTCAATGAGGGGCTGAGGTGACCCAGTAGTAGAGTCCCTACCTAGATCCCACATGAGTGTTTTGCCTGCATGTGTTGTATGTGCATCATATGCCGTGCTTGATACCTGCAGAGGCCAGAAGGAGTCACTGAACCTCCTAGAACTGGAGTTATAGATGTTTGTGAATGACCATGTGAGTGCTGGAAACATAACTCAGGACCTCTGCAAGAGCAGGCAAGTGCTGCTAACCACTATGCTGTCTCTCCAGCCCTACAGCTTGTCCGTTATGCAATGCGACAGGACTTGCCTAGGGATGCACACAGTGGGCTGGGTCCTCCAACATCAATCATTAATTAAGAAAACGCCCTACAGACCTGCCTACAGGTCAAACACTCTTTTTACAAACCTGAAGACAGAAGCTCAGAGGGATAAAGTACTGCATCCCAGGAGTCTGGGACTCCTCTCTACCCTCAGATCATTGCCCTTCTTAATTTCCTACTCTAGGGATATATATTTCCGGACACAGACTATTTACTTCTGACCTAATTCTGGGGTTTTTCTGGGTTCTGGTCATCTGTGGAGTATGTCTCAATCTTCAGGGCTTTCTGTACAGAATTTAGGGAAAAAAGGGGGAAGTAAGGTTGGGGCTACTTGAGTAACAGGAAGCAGGTTTCCTTCTGATTTTCAAATAGCAAGGGAAGTGGTTTCACTGTGTCAGTACAAATAGTGGTTAAGACAGAACCAACTAGAACTAAGGTATCACCCACTCCCCCTCAGTCCTAAGCTCCTCATACTTCCAAGTTCACCATAACCCAAACTCCCTTTCTCACAGTATTCTTCACCTTGGTGGTAATTTTGTTCTCCTCTGGCATGGGGACTGAAAGGAAAATAAATTACTTATAACACTTGTGAAAAACAAATGTATGTCCTAAGTAATTCTTCTAGGGCTCGTGTGTGTGTGTGTGTGTGTGTGTGTGTGTGTGTGTGTGTGTGTGTGTATCTTCTCGGAGTCATACTATTTGATTCACTTCTGATAATGTATTTTGGGTTAGAGCAGCCCATAGATGCTAATTACTTGGGGTTAACAGCTCAGTAGCCTTGGGCTAGGAATACAGTTCTTTTAATAACCTGATTCCTGATAGGCAGGATGGATTCCTTCCCCAGCACCTCACAAACCAGGTATGGTGATATGCGTTTGTAATCCTAGCATGCAGGCAGGATGACCTGTTCATGGTCTGGGGGAGATGTCCCAGAGAGTAAAGTGCTTGCTAATGGAAACATGAGGACCTGACTTCAGATCTCCAGAACCCATTTAAAAGATAAGAACAATAGTGTACGCCCATGACACCAGAGCTAGGAGTGGCTAAGACAAGCAGAACTCCAGTGTGCACTGGCAATCTAGTCTAGTAGGCTGGCAATCTCTGATTTCACTGAGAAACTCATTCTCAAAATAAGGCAGAGAGCAATAGAGGAACATTTCCTACATTGACCTCTGGCAGTGAGATAGCTGTATAGACTCAGACACAGACACTTACACATGCACACATGTACACATGCACGCACACAAAGGTTAAAAGGTCATCCTTTACTCGGAATGCCTGAAATCTTGTCTCAAAAAAAGAGGGCTTTCTGTCTCGAAAAAAAAGAGGGCTTTCCCAGAGTATCTTACACATCTATCTGATTTGGTTATAAATCAAGGACGCCCTCAGGTACTTTTTCTTTTCCCCATTTCTTTGTTAGTTCTTTGAGAATTTCATACAATGCATTTTGATTGTATTAATCTCATCTACTCCTCCTTCACTTTCTACTTCACTTTTTCTCCTCTTATTTCTTTGCTAAAATGCATCCAATAGTTTGTGCTACCCACATATTTTCTGATATATGACCTTCCAGTGAAGCATGGTTGATCTACCAGAAACTATACTCTTAAAAAAAAAACACTTCTGCCACAAGCTTCCAATTGTCAGTAACTCCTCAACTTGGTGTGGTACTTCATGGGATTTGGTTTGACTTGAGCTTGCACAGGCATTTTTCACACTCTCGTAACTCCTGTGGATTTGTATGTGCAATTGCCCCCACTGTGCCCAGAAAATACTATTTCCTTATAGTCAGCGGCTACCTCTGACTCTTGCAATCTTTCTGTGCCCTGTTTCATAATGATCCCTGGACCTTGGGAGGGCTGTGTGTGATATACATTTTCCATTTAGGGTTGAGCATTAATTAGTCTGTGGCTCTCTACACCTTAACCAACCGTGGGTCTCTATATTCATTATTATCTACAGGAAAATGAGAGAGTTGAGAGATGCACTAATCTATGTGTAGAATGACAGTCACTACTAGTTGGTTAATACTGTGTGCAGTTAGCAGAATAGCAGAAGGTTCTCCACGAGGGCCTATGACCCTAGTTGTAGGCTCATGGCTCCAATAATGGTGGCACGTATGGGTTTTCATTTGTGGAGTGGACCTTAAATCCAATAAGAAAGTGGTTGGTTAATCTCATGTTTATGCCAGTATTGTACCAATGGATACTTCTTGCCGGGAGGGTTGTTATTGTAGCTCTCAGTGTTCACAAATGGGTAAGATGGGTGATTCCTTTTCTGGTGGTGTGCATAGCACCTCCTAGCACTATATAAGTATGCTATAGATCACTACAGATCTAATAAAAACAGCATGCCACTGGCCTACAAGCAAACTCATTGATCACTGAGACAGAATTGAGGATCTAGATGTAAGTCCACACTCCCACAATAATCATTGCAGTACACAGCATCATCAAGAAATGGTACTGACTAAATTTGATAGTGACATGTAGAAAAAAAAGCTGTATCCTTATTCTCACTATGCATAAAACTCAGCTCTAAATGGATCAAAGACTACAATGTCAGGCATGGTCCCCTGAATCTGATATAGAAAAAAGCAAGGAATACAATTGAACTCACTGGGAAAGGCTTTATTTATTTATTTATTTATTTCCAAGACAGGGTTTCTCTGTATTGTTTTGGAGGCTGGCCTGCAACTTGCTCTATAGACCAGGCTTGGCCTCGAACTCACAGAGATCCGCCTGTCTCTACCTCCCGAGTGCTGGGATTAAAGGCGTGTGCCACCAATTCCCCGCTTGGGAAAGGCTTTTTAAATAGGACCTTAAAGTACAGGTGTTGAGATGAACAATAAAATAAATAAATGGGACCCAATGACACTAAAAAACTTCCATACAACAAAGAATTACATCGCTCAAGTACAGAGGCAGTCTACAGAATGGAAAAAAATCTTTACCAGCTGGATATTTGACAGAGTGTTAGTATCTAAAATACACAAAGAATTCAAGTAGTAATAATAACAAAAATGCTAAACATCAAGAAAACAAAGAACCCAATTAAAAAACAGGCACTAGAGAAGATTTCTCAAAAGACAAATTACTAATGGTCACAAAACATTTAAATGAATGTTTAAAATCCTTAGCCAGCAGGAAACTTCATATTGAAACTATTTTGAGGTTTTATCTTACTCTAGCCAGAGTGGTCAAGATCAAAAGAACGCAAATAACAACAAATCATGGTGTGTGTGTGTGTGTGTGTGTGTGTGTGTGTGTGTGTGTGTGGCGGGATGGTGGGGTGGATGGGTGACACTTAACTCACTGCTACTGAAAGTAAAGCCTGGAGCACAATTTTGGGGTCATTCACTTTGAGTTAGGTACCTCAAATACCAGATGCTACACAAACTGGACAAATTTGGTTGTAGTTACACAGAGAGACATAAATGAAAACACTGCCTTTTTTTTTTTCTTTTTGGTTTGGTTTTTCAAGACACAGTTTCTCTGTGAAGCTTTGGAGCCTGTCCTGGCTTTAGCTCTATAGACCAGGTTGGCCTCGAATTCACAGAGATCTAACTGCCTCAGCCTCCCAAGTCCTGGGATTAAAAGTATGTGCCACCAGAAAACACTGATTTTATGATGGTAAGTGGTATGGCAAATATAGCAACACAAGGGGTCAGGAAATTATGTATCTCAAGAGATACAAGTCTTTCCCCTTCTTCATTATCTAAAGGAAGCATACACCTATTACCCACAGAAGGACACTTGAGAATCAGCAAGTTTACAGCCTGTGAGGGGACTGGAAGTGGCCAGCATTAATAATGCTATAGCAATAACTGTCATTTGTAACTATCTCAGACCAACAAGAAAATGTATATTATTTTTGTCTTTTCTCATTGACCTGCTTCAGTTGAGGTAACAAAAGTCCAAAAAGTCATCTCAAGTTTTTCTATTGAGTGTGTAGCTTGAAAGTCAACAGGGAATCTCTATTATAGCACAGGGGAACTCAAAGCAGACAAAACTTGAGTTGAAGTCCCCTCTTCACTTTGCCTGTACATTGTCTTCAGAAGGTAAAGAGGAATTGTTGCCCATATTCATGCCTGTGTCACTAGTCTGGGCTGAGTCCTCACTCAAGGCCCTCTCTAGACTGGCAGGCAGTGAGTGAATTAGTCTCTCTCTAAAGTCCTGGCCCATGAAGACATAAAGAATTGGGTTGAGGCAGCTGTTAAAGAAGGCCAAAGAGCTTGTGACATTGACTGCAGTTGCGATGCCTGGAATCATTCCGCTTAAGAGTTCCCTGACTTTGATTGTGGATATGAGGGCCACTACCTGAAATGGGCACCAGCAGAGGAAAAAGGCAGCCACCACAAAAGAGAGAACCCGCAGGGGCCGGCTGGATTTGATCAGGCCTTGCCTGTGGATTTTAGTGGCTATGAGCCCATAACAGATGGCAACAATGGACATGGGTGTGCTGAAGCCAATGATGAACCTGATGATTCCTCTGATGGTAAGCATGGTGATGGCCACCTTCTTCTTCTCTACAGGATCTTCGGTCCAGGGGGAGAAGTCAAAAGTGCAGACTGTTTTCCCTGGCCCAAGTTTATTAGGGATTGTGGTCAGACGAATAATAACCGGTAAGGTAAGGAGAAAAGCACAAATCCAGGGTCCGATAATTACTTTCTTGGCCAGGCTCACGGTTCTGTGGTTCTGAGCCCAGACTGGATGCAGGACACAAATACATCTGTCTAGTGCAATCAGGGCGATCAGGAAGACACTTCCAAACAGATTTATGTCTACTATGGTAAATATGAACTTGCACATGAACCAACCAAATGGCCATTGTCCTCCCATGGCCTTAGAGGCAATAAAAAATGGCAGCGTGGAGGTGAAGCAGAAGTCAGCAATGGCCAGGTTCAAGTAAGAGATAGTGGTGACTGTGCGTACCATGCGGAAGCCGGCCACCCAGATCACGAGCCCATTGCCCAGCACTCCAAGGACAAAGGTGATGGCAAACATCAAATATGAGAAGACATTCAGAGCAGTGTAGGCAGCAGATACTGGTTGGGTCCTTGCAGATACATTCATAGAGTTCCCTGCAGTCATGTTCATGAGGAAAGAGATGTTGGTGTCCATCTTGTTCACTCCTAGAATATTAAGAAACAGGGATATTTATCTATCTATTTATTTATTATTTAACTTTTTCTTTTCTCCTCAAGGCAGGGTCTCCTTTTTCTAGCCTAGAACACTCTCTGTAGACAAAAGTGGCTGTAATCTCAGGGAAATCTGCCTGCCTCTTTCTCTTGAGTGCTTGGATTAAGGGCATATGCTACTATGCCTTTCTTTATTTTTGCCAGTTTTCATGAGTGTTTTCTTTGTATGTATGAGTGCACAGATGTTTGTGAGTGCTTCGGCACATATGTGAAACCATGGGGTTGATGTCAAGCATTATACTCTACAGCAATTACTAACCTTGTTAGGTAGATTGGCTCTCTATCCTTTCTGAGACTGGAATTATGGCTGAACCACTGAGCTCAACTGACATTTACGTGGGTTTCTGAGGATTCAAACTCTGGCCTTCACACTTGTATGTAAGCTCTTTAACCACTAACCAACCTCTTCAGGTTGAAAGTGCCATAAAAAAGGCAATTTTCCTTGTCTTTATTGCTGTTTTCCATATATTTTCCCTCCCAGTCCCTCACACCCAAGCTAGAACAAGCTCACCACTGCCTGATGTGCTTACCCATGTTGTTAACTGCTTATCAGATAGGGAAAAGTTATGTCTATATTCCCACAATTGCTAATATGCACTCCACCACAAGGGAACTATTTGGCTGATGTAGATCCTTAACTTACAAGAGAAAAAAACAAAACAAAACAAGACAAAACCAAAAACTGGGTGAACAATATGTAGATAAAATCAAGCCAACAGGATGGGTCAATACTCTAGCAAGCAGCTCTCACTGGGCTGCTAGGAATAGAAGGAGAGGACATGGTGGCAGGGGTGTGTGCTGGGTGATGCTATGAGGGCAAGAGTGTGAGGATGATTGTGCTTGCAGAAGTTAAAGAATAAATAAAAGTTACGGTTAAGAAAAAAACTTGTGTTCAAACATAAGTTGTGCTAATTTGTACAGCAGCATTTTTTATTATAGATTGAGTATAAAGACATCCTGTCCTAGATTGCTTTCTAAAAACAATTTGAAAAGGAAGGGGGTTATTTCAATCAATGTTATTTTATATCCCATAATGTAGGGAAGTCAAGGCAGGGACCTGGAGGCAGGAGCTGAAGCAGAGGCCATGGAGGATGCTGCTGACTGGCTTGGTCTTGTGAATTGCTCAGCCTGATTTCTCATACAACACAGGCCCAGCCACTGAAGGGTAGCACCACACACAGTAAGCTGAGCCCTTCTACACCAATTGTTTTTGTTTTCTTTTTAAGGTTTATTTATTTATTGAATATACAGTGTTCTGTCTGCACACCAGAAGACGGCGCCACATCTCATTATACATGGTTGTGAGCAACCATGTGGTTGCTGGGAATTGAGCTTGGGAACCTCTGGAAGAGCGGTCAGTGCTCTTAACCTCTGAGCCATTTCCCCAGCCCTTCTACATCAAAAATTTTTTTTTGGTTTTAATGAGACAGGGTTTCTCTGTATTGTTCTGGAGGCTGTCAGTCCAGCCCGGCCTTGAACTCACAGAGATCCGCCTGCCTCTGCCTCCCGAGTGCTGGGATTATAAGCGTGTGCCACCACCGCCCGGCTCTACATCAATTATTAATCAAGAAAATGACACACAGACTTGTCTCCAGGCCAATTTAATCGAGGCAATTTCTCAGTTGAGGCTACTTCTTCCCAGCTAACTCTAGCGTATGTCTAGTTGAGGAAAACTAAACAGACAAATTGGACACCCAGAATGTGATATTTCCATCTGATATATAGGTTTCCGACTTAAAAAGGAATGAAATACGCTGATTGTGGTAGCTTGTAATCACAGCATTTTGGGATACTATAACATGAGGATAGCTAAGTTTGAGGTCTTCATTCCATAGGATATACAATGAGACTCTCTCAAAAAGTAAAGCAAAATAATGAAGAACTAATACATGGCATAACAGATACACTTTAAAGGCATATCCCAAAGGAATCTAGACATGGAATGTCACACGATGCGTTATTCATCTTACAACAAATACCCATGAAGAAACAGCATATTAGTGGGTACCGAGGCTTGATGGAGGGCGAGAGAAGAATTATTGCTCAAGGGGTGTGGAATTTGTTTTCTTTTGAGTGATGCAATAATTCTAGAATTAGATAGGGGTATGTTGAAAAACATTTTAAATGCCCTTAATGACATTTAATTTTCAAGTGGTAAAATTTAAGCTGGGTGTGGTGGGGGTGTACCCTTGTCACCTCAGTTCTTGAGAGACAGGGGCAGAAAGATCTGTGACTACCTCCTTCCTTGCTGGGGCCTCAGTAAAGACTCCTCTCCTCTGATTAGAGGGGGCATTTACATGACTAATGCCTGCAGGTGACATCTCTGAAATGGTCTCTTTTATACTATTTCTTTTATATCTGATATTATAACATAATTTCATCATTTCCCCTTTCCTTTTCCTTCCTCCACCTGTCCCATATTCTCCCCCACCTTTCTCTCTTTCAAATGCATGGCCTTTTTTTTCATTAATTGTTATATCACACTCACTCATGCTCCCAAATACGTAGAAACACATGCCCAGTCCTAAATACAACATGGGATTTATAAATATATTTTCAAGGCAAAAAAACATTTGGTATTGGATAACCAATTGATCTTAGCTTTCAAAAATCAATTTTAAATTATTTTAAATTATGTATATATGTGTGTATCTGTGTGTGAATATGTACTTGGGTGCAGATGCCTGAAAAGAACAGAGTTGATGGACACAAGTTAGTTATGACCTGCCTGGATTAAGTTCTGAGAACTGGATTCAGATCCTTTCCAAGAGCCTTGAGTACTCTTAACCACTGAGCTGTCTCTGCAGCAGGTTACCTGAGATTATCTTGGTGGAAGGAAATAATGTTCTCTCCTTCTATGAGAGAACTCAAGATGCTTGAGGGTGGGAAAGGGCAAGAGAGAAATGAATCTTCCAATGTGTGGTGGATAGGAAATTTCCACTGGATTAAGTATGCAAAGTATTGCTCACGTCAAAAATGGCTTTTTCTAATAATAGCTGTGGACTTCCTTAAATGGCAGGTGGGGAGGGGTAAAATAAGTTAATAACCTTGGATGTTGAGTCAGTGATTGACAGGTAGCATGTAGTGAATAATGACAGGTGTGGCGCACGTGTGTGTGTGTGTGTGTGTGTGTGTGTGTGTGTGTGTGTGTGGTGTGTCCATGAACATGCATGTAGAGGCCAGAGGTCAATGTCAGATGTCTTCCTTGATTACTCTTTAGTTTATGTCTTTGAGACAAGTCGCTCACTACACTTAGAGCTACACTGCTTGTTCAGTGAGCTCCAGATATCTGAACATCTGCTGTCTCCACTTCCAGTGCTGAAGCTGAAGACTCGCATTCCTGCACTTGGCTTTTATGTGGGTGCTGGTGATCTGAATGCAGATCGACTTCATTGGCCGAGCCATCTCTTCAGCCATTGACACTTGGGAAAACAAGAAACTGGACCTGAAACATGAACTTCTTATACTCACCCAGTCTCTCAGTCCGAAGTTCAGCAAAGGTCTTTTTCTGCCCCTGCTCTGCCACACTACCTTCGGAAGAGGGGCTGACTCACAAAGTATCAACTCCAATTTGAGACAGGGAAAGAGCAATGGTGGCTATCAGATTTGAAAGTCTATGAAGAAGCAGCTTTCGATGTCTCATTAATAATGCTTACAGCCCTTGGTGCAATTGTTGAACCAATAGTTGTTGCTGAAGGGGTCAAGACTGGGCTGGTGAAACCCACAGAAACAGCTGACCTGAGCAAGGGAGAGCTCTTGCACCCCAGACTGATGGCTGGGAGGACAGCATGGGACTGATCCAGATCCCTTGAATGTGGGTGTCAGCGAGGAGGCCTGGACAATCTGTGGGACCTTGGGTGGTGTCCCTGGCATACAGATGGGATTTGGGTGCCCCTCCCACAGTGAGGGATGCTCTCTCAGCCTAGACTTTTGCGGGAGGGCCTAGGCCCTGCCCTGAATGAAATGACAGACTCTGGAGATCCACCATGGAGGGCCTCACCCTCCCTGGGGAACGGAGTGGGAATTGGGTGTGGGGCTGGGGGGAGGCTAGTGGGGGATAGGGGAGGAGTGGAGGGAGAGGGAGCTGGGATTGACATGTGAAACAAGCTTGTTTATAATTTAAATAAAAAATTTTAAAAGCAAATAAAAGATTGGATAAAAAAATAGTTGTTGCTAGTGGTTCTCTCCTGCCAGCCTGGTCTCATAGCCACCTCAATACCAAATAAACATACAGAGATGCTATATTAATTATTAAACAGGTGACCGGTGGCAAGGGCCTCTTATTTTCTAGCTCTCTCTTTACTGACCCATAACTACCAATATATGTATTTCTATATGGCCTTGGCTTACCCGAGATTGCTCAGACCTGTTATTCCTTTTGTGGTCTATATGGCAACTCTCTTTGGCTAACTCTCTCTGACTATCTTTCCCAGAATTCTCCTCCTCGTAATCTGGTAGCCCTGCCTATCTTTCCTGCCTGGCCACTAGTCAAACTGTTTTGTTCATTAACCAATAAGACAAGCATATATACAGGAAGGACGTCCCCCATCAAATAGTGAATTAGAACTAATTCATTCCCAACTGCTCCCTGCTCCATTTCCCCCTCTTCCTTCCCCTTCTCCTATTCCACATAAGTTCTTTTGTATCTATCCCTGATTGGCCTGGAACATTCTGTGAAGAACAGGCTGGCCTTGAACTCGTAACAGTCCTCTTGCCTCTGCTTCGTAAGTGGTAGGACTACAGATGTTTGCTATCAAGACCAAATAGCTCTCCTTTCCTTCCACTCTCCTCCTCTTCTTCCTCTGTATTGCTCTTGTCTTTTAAGATAAGTTTTCATGAATCCCAAACCTGTGAAGGACAGACTTAAGCTTCCAGTATTCCTTCCTCCACTTCTCAAATTCTGAGATTGCAGGTATGCACAATACTCAGTTTGTGTGATGCTGGGTTTTGAATCCAGGACTTGTATGCTAGATACACGCTTTTCCTGCTGAGCTGCAACCCCAGCCTGCGACTCTCTTTATGTCTTTAAAGCACCCACAGAATGGCCTAAAATCACATCTGTAGCTCACATTATCATTGAATCTCAATGCTTTACAGTTTCAGAAACAATTTGCAAGTGACTCCTCTTCTCCACCTTCCACCAATAGACCAACCACCAAGCTGGGCTGAGGGCTGTTTGTTCTCAAGACTCTCTGAGACAATGATTAAAAGGTTTACAGAATGAACAAGGAGGGTTTTTCAGTGACATGTCAGAACAGGCAAGAGCAGAAGAACAATGAGAAATGGCCCTACCTATGGTTGGAGGCAGAAGAATGTGATTTGGGTTGAATAGGAATGTTGTTAGCCACCAGTTAGAGAGGGCTTTAAAGATGTCAATCACTGTACCACATCATCACCCTCTTCAGACCCTGATAAAGGCAAACCTGACTAAATGAGAAAACAACCAAAATTAGCAGTTCCGGAGGAAGCAGAGACAAATTCTTCAATAGAATCCATGAAGCCCATGGGACCTGTCTGCTTGCGGGCTCATCACTGCCCTCATGTTTGCCATTTTCCTCAAGTTTCCTATGACTTGTAAGAGTGATTTCGTTCCTTCTGTATTTTGTTTAAAGCTTTGAGCCTTTTCTCCATCCACCCAAACACAGCCCATGCCTCTCATCCTGCTCTGCCCAGCCACTGCCCTCCGTGCTCTTGACAGATCTTCTCTGGCCTTATGTCAATGCCAGAGGACAAATATCCCAGCCTAAGGCATTCCCTCCATGATCTACTATTTCCAGGAGTGCTATCCCTGATTGGTGCACAGTCAACACTTTTCTTGATTCCTCTCAATGAATGAGCACATCAATGTGTTCTAGACCATCGCATCTTTAATGCAATTTATTCTTCCATAGCCCCTTTTAGTTCTCAACCACTCCTTTGACTGTCTTTTGCAGTAAAACACCCTGAAAGAGTGCATTGCTGCATTCACCTCTCTGTCTTACATTTTTCCCACAATTGAGCTTTATTTATACCTTCTCTTTTCTTTTTTTAAAAAATCTTTTTAGACAGGTTCTCATGTAGTCCAGGCTGACCCTGAACTTAGCCAAGGATAACATTAGACTTCTGCTTGCCTCTCCAACTCTGATATTGAGATTGCAGGGTTTGTGCCACTGTGTATTAGAGATAAAGCCCAGGCTTTGTGCTTGTTAGGTAAGATTCTACTCACGAAAGCATATCCCCAGCCTTCTATTTTACAGATCAAACTCTACTCTGCCACCAATCTGCCACCGTGTTGTGTAGACCCCAAAGGAAGGTTTTCTCACCTGTATTTTCCAACAGCTGTGGACCTTCTTCTGGGCAGCTGCTCTAAGTCTGATCTCCTGTAGAGAGTGGCCTGTCTCTAATGGCCTCAACAGAAAATATACAAAGGGATGGGGGAGGGCTAACAGAGCAGAAATGAATTGGGAAACAGGAAACAGGAAACCAGTGATTTGCATTGACCCTGAGATAATACCCAAATCACATTTTTCTTAAAAGCATTTGGTGATTGGACTAGATCCTTCTAGAAACTCAAGAACCTGAAAACCTTCCTCTGCTTCATCCTTGGTGGTTTATAGAGGTCCAACCTTTTCTATATCAGAGGTGAAAAGATTTGTGTTCAGGAGGAGGAAAGGGGAGGAGGCTGTGGTAAGGAGAATCTACTGGAAAAGTGAAAGGCAGAGATGGAGGGAAAGAGAAACTAGAGACCCAGAGACAGGAAGGTAAATGTGAGTAACTCAGTCAGAGAGGATCAATCATTCTACACTTAGCCACAGTTGCCAAGGTCAATACCATAACTGTCCACACTTCTGCCAACTCACTTTTGTGGTCATTCACAACAGACACCTTTTAGAATGTTCCCAAGGAAGGAAGGTGTTGACTTTTCCTGGAAGGGCATCAAAAGGTGTCTATTCACCCCAGACAGGACACTGGGGACAAAGAAAAGTAATGAATATGCTGAGTCCAACTTGGCAAACCAGTGAGCTCAATGGGGACACTTACAGAGTATATGTGCTTCAGGGTTTACTTGCAGGAACCAGGGTGGTTGCATCACCAAACCCCCCCCCCCCTCAGCCTGAGTGACAGTGAAGAAGCATAGCAGACATGGTGCCCTCTGCAGAACATGCAGGCAACTAGTTAGGTTGGAGAAGCCTCCTCCAGGCAACTTGACATCCTCTCTTCTCCCAAAAATGTGTTTACTGCTTTCTTAACCTTGTAGAGGGTCCTATATATTTTGTAAGTTTCTGCTTTTGCTGACCCATGTTTTTCCTGGGGGGAAATGTTTCAAGTTTTAGCTTCCCCAAACTTTAAGAATCCTTCCTCCACAGTGTCTGAGTAGGAAAAAACATTGCTACACAATTGAGGAAGCATGCAAATGAAGTTATAGCCAGTCACAAGGAACTGAGCGGTAAAGGGCATTGTTTTGCATAGTGAAGGACCAAGATCCCAAGAAAAACAAGAAAGGGAATAGGTAGAGAGTAACTGCTGAATGGGGAGTGGGGGTGGGGTGGGGGGGTCGGGTCTTTGAAGTCTGAAGGCTCTCCTTGCAGATGGTTTGATGGGAGTCCCCCACTTGCTCCTCCACAGCTCGCCACACCTCTGAGTGAGGCACAGGGCGGTTTTGTTCTTTGCTGCGCCTATGATTACCACACAGCACCTGAGAAAATGCAGAGGCATGCTAGTGTAGGTTAGAGTTTAGATGGTGAAGAAAAGCAGGGAAGTCCCAGGGCGGACTTCTGCTTTGTGTGGCCCCATTTGCACAACCTAGGTAAACCCAAAGGAAATGGCTGTGAGCTGTGCTGCGTTGGAGGAATCCCTGCTTGAGATGCCAAATATTCTGTCAGAAAATAGACTACTGGCAACTCCCTTTGAGCACTGTGAAGGTTCTCAGAACTTGGACTGGGTTGATCACTAGTTGGGTAACCAGACAAGCCACTTAACAAGGACTGAACATTTTCTATCAAGGAAGACAAAGTCAATATTTAATACCTGGTAGGCTTCGTGATTCCTCTGTTCAGCTTTACAGGGTGAGTACACAGAATATGCCAACAGTACATCATTTCAGAACACAGTAATTGGATTTCACATCATTTCACACACCATATTTTATTTTTCTTTTGTTGCTCTTCATGCAGAAAAAAAAAAACCAAAAATCAAAAACCCCACAAACAAACAAGAAAACTCTTCCTGGCTTGCAGGCTGTGCAAAAACCAGTGTTGGTGGGACTGGAGAAGGGTGCTAAATGGTTAAAAGCACTTCATGTTCCTACAGACTACCACAACAAACCATCAGGTGGTGGTGACTTAGGAGGCTCAGTAACTTCACCTGTGAATTCAGAGTCACAGTAGTTACAAAAGTAATTTTTATTTCAGCACAACAGACAAGATAACTGATGCAGAGCACGTACCGCAGATTATCTACATCTTACAAAACATTCTTGTCTCCTGACAGGCTTTCTGTGTAGACGTTTCTATCACACCTCCCTCCACTCACTGTCTGCAGTGTTTTTGGACTGCAGGCACATCTTAGGATCACCTGTCCCTTCAGGCCTACCTCTAGAATTTTCTCTCATCAATTTTTCGCTTAATCCTGTCTTCTGCCATATACTGTGATCTCCTTCAATCTCAAGTTAAAGCCCAAATTCCCATGCCATTCAGAATGTGACTGTTCAGAGTTAGGGTGTTTAAAGAACTAATTAAAACTAAATGAAGTAATAAGGGTGGACCCTAATCCAATATAAGTGTTGACCTTTTGAGAGGAACCACAAGGGCTGTGCAAGCTTACAGAGATGTCTCTGGAAGGACACAGAGAGGAGAAGATGGCCACCTGCAAGCCAAAGAGAAGACCCAGGACCAACATCATGAGCTCGGACCTCCAGCATCCACAACTGTGACAAAATCAGTTGCTATGCTTTAAGATCTCCAGTATGTGGGTGCTTTGTAGTGACAGCCTTAGCAAACCAACCCATTCTGCTGTAGTTCAGGGATTTCTACCTCTATGATGACCTCAAATCTACTCAGTTCCCACAGTGTGTTAAAGAAGATGGCCATTGACTGGGGGTGTAGATCAGTTAGCAGAGCGACTGCCTGGTCTGCCAGAAGGAAGTCCTGTCTAAACTGGGTGTGATAGTGCACGCCTCTAATTCCAGCACTTGGGAGGTGGAGAAAGGAGGATACAGAGTTCAGTTGTTTACTCAGAGTGTTTGAAGATCGCTTGTGATACAGGAGAACCTGTTTTCAAGATGTGGGAGTAGGAGAGGTGGGTGGAGACATGGAGAGAGAGAGAGACAGAAGCAGAGCCGCAGCGGCACATACAGAAAGGATGTTACCAGGAGATTGTTTTTTTTAAAACTTCCCACACTATGGTAGTGTCTATGCCCACTGTCCTTACATCTGAATTAGGAAAGAACTGAATTATTGGGCCACCCAGTTAGTGTCCACAGGGAACTGGAGATTTTCTTGGTCTGAAAAGAAACCCACACATGTGCTGTTGGAACTCTCGTCATATGCAGAGATGCAAAATTGTGTTTGTTATCATCTAAGTCTTTATAAATGTGTGTATACCTGCGCCCAGAGAGGCAAGAGGACATGCCTAGTCTCCTTTGATCTGGAGTTACATGCAGTTGTGAGGTGTTTGATATGGGCACTGAGAAATGAAGTTGGGTCACCTGGAAGAGCAGCAAATGTCTTAGCCACTGAGACATCTGTCTAGCGACTCCCATTTGTGTTTTAAAAGCAGATTTATTTATTTATTTATTTTATTTATTTTTAAATGGACGAGTGTATGACTGCGTGTCATGTTTGTGTCTGGTGCCTGCAGAGGACAGAAGAGGACGCTGAATGCCATGGAACTAGAGTGACAAGTGGTGTGAGTGGCTATGTGGGTGACAGAAACCCAACTTGGGTCCTCCTTAAAAGCATTCAGTGCTCTGAGTCCCATCAACCTCCCCACCCCACCCCCCATCCTTTATTTTAAAGAATGAGGGACCTGGAGGGATGTCTCAGTGGTTAAGAACAAGTACACCTCTTGTAGAGGACCTGACTTTGGTTACCATAGCCAATGTTGGGACTGTTCACAACTGTCTGACTTCAGATCAGCGGATCCAGAGGACCAGAACTCTGAGTGTCCACAGATGCCTGAATCCTGAGATTGACAGGACTGACCTCATGTGCTCCACAGATCAGTGGTGGGAGAACATTTAAACTTCTGTGTTTCTAAGAACTCCACTTCAGTAAAGAGAAGGCTTAGCAGTTAGAGCCCTGGCTGCTCTTCAGGAGGTCCCAAGTTCTACTCCCAGCATGAATGTAGTGACCAACAACTGCCTTTCACTCCAGTTCCAAGAAATCCAATGCTTTCTTTGGCCTCTCAGGAAACCAGACTTGTGTGTGGTGGGTGCACAGACATATACCACCACACATATAAAATAGGATAATAGAAAATTACTCCAATAGCATCACATTTGCATAGCTTCTCGGAATCTTAGGAAACATCGGATTTCTGCCACCGCATTGGTTTCAGGTTTCTTGTTCCTCTGTGTGTTTTCTTAAGTCTCTGATGAGAGGCAAGTACTTCACTTGCACCACAGGAACCCAGGAGTCAGTCATAGGAAGAGGATCATTGCTGGTGGTAAGTTGCACTCCAACAACTGAAAACTTAATTTTTGAATACCTGTTATATGATGGACACTTTCTAAAATCCCATGTGGAGATGTGCAATATCACATTTACTTTCAATAGATGACTTCTGAGTTCTTGACTTAGAATATTCTGAGGATAGAATACAGTTGGAGATATAGGGAAATGGCCCACTCTGCAAGTGGGTGCCTTGCAAGCATGCAGACCTAAGCCAAACCCACTTTTAAAAAGTTCATTGGAGGCAATCTCATCCTTAGGCTGTGATACATCTAGCCATTGAGCTATAAAGGCAACCATGAATGTGCTGTGTATATCTTTTGTCATCTTAAAGCACAAGAAAAATGTTACTTAGGAAGGAAAAAGGGGTTTCATTGGTACTGTGCCATGGGAGAGATCAGGATAAGAACTGAGAACGGTTCTTTGGGTTTGACTATCTGGAGTCCATATCCTTGAGCAGGGCAATTTGGTGCACTAAGGACCCAAGTCAGTATGCAGTGGGTTGATGATAAGCAGTGAGGTAAGGGAGTGTAAAGAATAATTATAGGTTCTAAGGTTGAATCAGAGCTTTTTCTTTCTCCTTCTCTCCTCCATTCTCAACTGAATATAAAGTCTCTCACATGTACCCAGATGCTGTGCTGATGAACCATACACCTCACTGGGGATCCTATACAGGTGCTCTATCACTGAGTAACACTGACAAATCTCTCACTACTGGGGCATTCTAGGCGATGCTCTACCATTGAGCTACATCACTAGTAATGTATTTTCTTTTTCAACTTTTAAAAATGTATATGGGTATTTTTTGCAAATGTGTGTCTGTGTGCCATGTGCTTTCTTGGTGCATGAGAAGGCCAGAAGAGACCATTGGACCCCCTGGAGTTGAAGTTTCAGATGGTTATAAGCCTATGAAACACTGTTGGAAACTGAACTAAGATCTACTGGAAGAACAGGCAATGCTCTTAATTTCTAGGCAATCTATCTGGCTCTCTTCCTTTTTCTCTTTATTGTGAGCCATGATACTAGTAAATTACTGAACTAGAACTTGTCCTGTAGCTGAGGCAGGCCTTGACTAGGCAATTCTTATCTCATCCTCCAAAGATAGTTGCAATTATTGGTGTGAAAGGCAAGGATTAACTGGGAATGGTTTATTCTTGAAGGGAAGTGACATAGCAGTGTTAATATGCCAATGAGAATGATCTGCTGGAAAGTGTATCCTGGTGTTTTGTCTTGGTTTGGAAGAACAGAGAAGGAAAAACTCGGGAGTCTAATATCTGGGATAGAGAGGGACAGATCTAGAGAAAATGTGTGTAGAGAGACCATTTGAAATGAATGACAACCTTTCCCCCTTAGGAATGCGTACCTGTAATAGCTTGGAGAGATGGCTGATGATACAGTAAAAATTCCCCAATTAATTGGTATAATTTTTTTTAAAAAAAGAACATACCCTGGGAATAGCAGAAGAAATGATACAGTTTGAGGAGCAATCAAAGGGACAGAATAATCAGTTTAATGTGTGTCTGTGTGTGAGCTTCTGTTTGTATGTGTTCATGTACGTGCGTAAGCTCATGTGTGTAGAAGCTGGTGGTCAACATTAGACATCTAACTCAGGTAATCTCTATCTTTTTTATTATTATGAGGCAAAGTCTCTCCTTGAGGTTGTAACTTACTAATGATCTAGATAGTCTGACCAGGGGGCTCCACAGATCTTCCTGTCTCCACCCTCTCCCACAGCAGGAGGCATAGATGTATGCCACCATACCTGGTTTTTATGTGGATGCTGTAGATCTGAACTCATGTTCTCACTGCATGGCAAATACTTTACAGTGAGCCATCAGGCCAGCCCCGAGTACTCACTTTGCAGACAAGAAATGAGCATGATAAAAAGTAGAGAGAATTGGCAAAAAAGTGCTGTTTCTGCAAGCCCCTTCCTGTTTAGAGCCACGGTTTCATCTATTACAGAATGGTGACGTGTGTTCTAAGATACAGATGTTATAATGAAATGATTGGCATATGTTAGGGTTTCACGACACAAGGATCATCCTAACCAGTACATTTTCTTCTGTGGCCCACAGTTCCTCCACTTTGCAAAAACAGTGTGATGGAACCACCCTTTAACACCTTTGTCTTTCCACTAGTCCTTCCTTGCTGTGTTAACTTTTTTAAAGCAAGGATTTAAAGATTATGGAGGGCATATGGTATGGCTTGTAGGATACTTGGAAAGGTGGGAAAAACCTGAATACAGTGAGGAACATATAGGATGGGACAGGCTTAAGAGCTGGGTTGGGCTCCAATGATGGGCTGCTTCTTTCTACCTAGGAGCGTAAACAACGAATGTTCTAAATTTTATCTCATTTAATTTTTCAGTGGCTATTCTTATTATAAATTATATTATTCAATACTCACAAAATCTCAGAATATGCATAATGCTTTACATTACTAACTTCTGTAATCTGCAAGAGCTAGGATGAGTTGTAAATTCTTAATGAACTTGTTTAAGTGAGGACAATGTTCATTGAACTAGTTGTTATCGACACAACCATGTTTTTTCTATGTAACTCTTGAACTCAATATATAGTCAAGGATAACCTTGAACTCTTGATCCTCATGCTTATACCTCTATGTTGCTGGGATTAAAGATATATACAACCATACTCAGTTTTGTGCAGTGTTGGAGATCAATCCCAGAAATAAGCACTTGTTTGTCAGGTACTTTCCTAGTTGAGGCACTTCCTTAGCCACAAAAACATGTTCTTCTCTGTATGCTAACTTCTCCAATGTATAGCCCACAAATGAGCCCCAAAACACTGTACAGAACATGGTGAAGACAGGGTTAACATTTATTAAAGACTCACTTGGTCCAACCAGGAAAGCCTCCGTGTTTATTCTCATTATAGTCTTACCTGAAAAAACATTCTCCACCATAACACCATTCCTGATCAGCAGATGATGAAGCTAAGGTTCAAAGAAATGATACTGATAGCATTAGAGATATGATCAGGAAACAGATTAGTCATGACTGAGGATATGGCTTGGTGGGTAAAGTGCTTACAACAGTAAGAGGATCTGAGCTTGGATCCCAAGTACCTACAGAAAAAACCATAAACAATCAAACAGGCACTACAAACCCCACTAATAACCACAGTTTTAGGGAGTTAAAGACAGCAGGAAATCTGGAGTTAACTAATCAGCAAGCCATCCAATCAGTAAGCCTGAGGTTCAATAAGAGACCATGTCTCAGAAAATAAGGTGAAGGATAGATACATTGACAGAGACAACAGACACTGGTCTGTGGTATCCACATGTACAAAAACAGGCACATGGATATACACAGGTACACCAATGTGGATAACACACACAAAATAAAAAAAGAAAGAAAATAAAAAAAGAACGAAAATTTGTAGAACCCAGGAATATTTATTATACTCTATCAATGGCTTTCCCTTGCAGGTGGTTTTGTCTGCCAGAGGATGTTTTGCATATATAGACACTTTTGGTTGTCATAACTGCATGAGGGTTACTCCTGGAATCTAGTAGATGAGGTCAAGGAGCTGCTACACATCCTGTGATGTACAGGACTCCACCACACCCTACCACAATTAAGTAGTGGCAGATGTCAACTGTGCCAGGGTTGAGAAATCCCAAATCCTATTACACAATGTCCTGCATAGGACCTTGGTGAAAGTGACGGGCAACAAAAAGAAAATAAGGAAGTGTAATAGGAAACCAAGGAGGGAAATGGGAAATCCCTATCACATCAAATGTGAGGATAGTCAGCCATTGTGGGCAGGTCGTGTCAAACTAAGCACATCAGTGAGGCAAATTTGGGAGATCTAGGATTAGTTACATTAGGGTTCTAATGCTTGTTGCCGTTAACAAAAACAAAGACAAAGCAAAAACCCTACCAAAATCCGTTGAGTATGGCTTTTGTCTGATAAAAGAGGAATGTAACTGTCTCTCAGTATTATGAGAATAAAAGGAGAGAAACTTCTGGGTATGTGTTGTGTAAGTTTCCTGAGGAAACAAGACGCTCATGTCTACTCATCCCAGAGAACCCATGGCAGACCAAAGTAATGATTACATCAGAGTGCAACTTGGTGAATCAACAATTTTTATTGGGTTTACTAACAGGAGTATGGGTAAGGAGTTACAGGAGCAGATATAAAACAGATGCAGTTCCATCACCCAAAAGCTGACCACAACAAGGGTAAAGACCCATGAGAACTGTATCCATGGAGCAATCTGCATGGCTTACAGACAACTTGGCAAGTCAGGGAATCTCTTCTAGGTAGCAATGCTGTTCAGAGTCTTCTTTCCCACCTGATATTTACCGTTTTTATAACCTTGGAGAGAACTCTCCAAGACATGTGGAATATTTTTACTTTCTGAAACCCAGGAAGCTCCTTTCTGCCTCCTGAAGGGAATGTTTGAGTTTGAAGGAAATTTCTGCATAAAGCTGTTGGAGTACACATCTGTAATTTCAGCACTCTAGCAGTTGAAGCAGAAGGGTTAGGAGTATGAGGTCAGTTTGGCTACATAGCAAGACCCTATCTCAGCCAACCATGTATCCAAATAACCAACCAATCAACCGAAGCAGTGCTCAGTATTACTGTTTCTTTTTAAAGATAGATCAGTAAGTCTAAAACTTTTATGGTTGTGCAAAATTACCCTAGATTTTATGTGAATTCATTTTAAGGCAGGATTCATAATTAATTGAGATATTTCTTTCTACATTTTTATTTTATTATATTTCTAGGGATTGAACTTAATTTTCTTGCATACTACAAAAGTGCTCTACCACTGAGCTGCAGCCTGAGAGTCTCCCTGCAGGATTCTAGGTAGGTAGATGCTCTACCATTAAGCAATGTTCTCATCCCCTCACAGTTGGTTATAGACAAGCACTCTATTACTGATTCAATATCCTCAGGCCTATAAATAGATAACCTGTATGCAGATTTTGTAGCCCACACACCATAGCTTAAGAAAATATTCCGAGCTTCCTGAACCTGGGTGGGGCTGCTCACAGTTGCTTCTTGGCTGAACTGGCTGCAGACATGATCTGACCATAAGTCAGGTAACACAGCAAAGTTAAGTCTTGTTCTTAAGAAACTAGAAAAGCAATTACAAAGGCTCGCTGAAGACTTACTCCCATTGTGTTATCATCTGGAACTGTGTCCTGGAACTGTCTATCAACTCCTTATGAAGCAGTGAAGATTCAAGATACTCTCTAGACGGATCAGGATTTAGACTCGAAAGTAGATAGACAGATAACTTCCATGAACAAAACTGTGGTTTGCTCAGCAGAGAGAAGCCCACATTTAGCAATTTCTGTCACATTTGGAAGAACTCAGAGGTCAGACCCAGCTAGATTAAAATCTGTTATCACTATTTGTGTAGACTTTAAGTCATATTTTCTCTTAATGCAATTCTCATCTTACAAAAAATAGAAATAATGAACCTTATATAGATCAATCTAAATTCCATAATAAGCGCACAGTGCATAGTCTTGAAGAAGTACACAAACTCCACCAAAATTCATTAAGTCTCACCCGCTGTCCACCTAACACTAAAATATGCAGTCATAATATTCTTTGTATACCAAAGAGTGAGGAACTTCATTACAACCATAAGTAATGGAAGGCACTGTTTTGAAGGTAAAGATGTTACCCACTACTCACGATCTTCCTTCCACACTGCAGAACCAATAAACTGCTGCTACTCATTCTTTGCTTCAGCCCACCCTAATATCTCTCATCTGTCTGTCTGCCTGTCTCTGCCTGTCTGTCTTTATGTCTATATCTTTTTCTCTCTCCCTATGGAGTATACAGGCCTTGACTTCGTTATACTTTTGGCATCTCTCAGCTGAGTTATTTCTTTTGGGAACAGGAGAACTGAGGAAAAGCCTTCACTAAGGAATTGTCTACTGCATCTACTGCTTTGCTCCAAGTGTTAAACTCCATCACCCATGTTTTCCTGCCTGTTCACCCTCAGTTCAATATCACTGTTGGAAGATGGGAGCTAATTATTCTTTCCATAATCAGTCTGAAAAGCATAAATAGCTTTAGGAATGTGGAGGATGTGGAGAACTATGCTATCTCAGAAAGACATCCAGTAGAATGCTAGTTTTACAGTATTACTGTTACAATGGATCTCCTGTGGGGCCAGGTGGTGTGGATTCTGAATTTGTGTAATGTAAGATGGAGCCACATCTAAGAAATGGCTGTTATTGAAATTTTCAGGTGCAGAAAATGGAAGCCAACTACTCCGTGCCTCTGAATGGATCAGAAGTGGTGCTCTATGATTCTACCACCTCCAGAGTTTTGTGGATCCTCTCAATGGTGGTCATCTCCATCACTTTTTTCCTCGGGGTGCTGGGCAATGGGCTTGTGATCTGGGTAGCTGGATTCAGGATGACACACACTGTCACAACTATCTGTTATCTGAACTTGGCTTTGGCTGACTTCTCTTTCACGGCTACTCTACCATTCCTCATCACCTCAATGGCCATGAAAGAAAAATGGCCTTTTGGCTGGTTCATGTGTAAATTAGTTCACATTGTGGTGGACATAAACCTATTTGGAAGTGTCTTCCTCATCGCTCTCATTGCTTTGGACCGCTGTATTTGTGTCCTGCATCCAGTCTGGGCTCAGAATCACCGCACTGTGAGCCTGGCTAGGAAGGTGATAATTGGACCCTGGATTCTTGCTCTCATCCTCACATTGCCCATTTTCCTCTTCTTAACTACAGTTAGAGTTCCAGGAGGGCATGTGTACTGTACATTCAGCTTTGTGTCCTGGGGTGACACTCAAGAAGAGCGGTTGAACGCAGCAGTCACTATGCTAACAGTTAGGGGAATCATCAGGTTTGTCATTGGCTTCAGCACGCCCATGTCCATCGTTGCCATCTGCTATGGACTCATTGCTGCCAAGGTCCACAGAAGATCCCTTGTCAATTCGAGCCGCCCCTTTCGTGTACTCACTGCAGTTGTGGCTTCCTTCTTTATCTGTTGGTTTCCCTTTCAACTGGTTGCTCTTTTAGGCACAGTCTGGCTCAAAGAGACACTTGATGGTGGTTATAAAATTCTTGACATGTTGGTTCATCCAACAAGTTCATTGGCCTTCTTCAACAGTTGCCTCAACCCAATGCTCTATGTTTTTGTGGGACAGGACTTTAGAAAAAGACTGATCCATTCCCTGCCTTCCAGTCTGGAGAGAGCCCTGAGTGAGGACACTGCCCAGACTAGTGATACAGGCACCAATCCTGCAGACATTGAGATAAAGGCAATGTGAAGAGAGGACTGGGCGATGCTTTTTTCCCTCCCACACCAGTTCCATTTCATTATTATCTTACCTTATATTGTGATCTAGAACATTATTATTCTGGAAAGACACTTCTGTGTCCCCTGAATTGGAAAAAAGAAATAAAAGTCAAAGCTAATATTGCTGTCCTTTTAGGGATTTTTCAACTAAGATTGCAGCCTGGAGTAAGACTAAGATGGAAGGAAAAACATTACAAGAGAAAAAGTAGTAATGCATATTTGTAAGGATTAGATAGAATAGTAGATATTAAAATCAAAATTATACTATTTCAGGGCTTGGAGAGATGGCTCAGTTGTTAAGAGAAATTTCTGCTCTAGCAGAAGATCTGGTTTTATTTCCAAGTGCCCATTCCACTTAACTTAGAACTACTAGTAATGACATCTCTAGGGATTTCAATGACACTGGGTTCTGCAAGCATTTATACTCATATGCACATACCGTTAAACACACACACACACAATTAAAAAGAAAATAAATCCTTAAAATTATTTTGTCATTAACAGGTAAAATTTTTCTGGGCTTTGTGGCGCATGCCTGTAATATCAACATTTGGGAGACTGAGGCAGGAAAGAATAGTTCAAGACCAGTCCCCAAAACAAAATTGTGTGGTTTGCAGGGAATGAGATGCAACTCGAGAAAGGCACACTAGCACATTAAATGATTCAAATCAGGCACAGGAAGGTAGGAATTATATGTCATCTCTCAGTTTTGGTTCTTAGATTTTATACAGAAACATACAAATTGTGTGTGTGTGTGTGTATGTGTGTGTGTGTGTGTGTGTGTGTGTGTGTTTAAGTAACCCTGTCTAGGGAGACAAAGGAGGGTAGCAGGAGTGAGGATAGGTGAGAAAGAGAGTGTGGTGGGTTTGAAGGGAAATATAGAAAACAGTGTACACATACACAAAAAACTTAAATTCCAAAACAAATGAAATGATAATAAAGGAAGAAAGGAAGAGGTATTGGAAATTTATTCAAACATGTCTCCAGGTCTTTGGTTTACCTAGATATCATTTAGAAGATTGCCACTACTGACCATCCTCCTGGGCAAGCAAGAGGATTTATTTGCTCCCCTTTGCATAAGATAATCCCAGTTCAATTTGTTGGCAGTTTGCACCTTGCATAGAGGGGCAGAGTAGGGAATATAATATTCATTTGAGTATCTAGCCATTCCCCAACACCTGGCAACTCTTCGTGCGGCCTGGAGAAGGTGCTAGAATATACAGAGGCTGGGGAAGACTAGAAAATGCACTCTGCATACGTAGTGCCCTGCAGGGTGAGGCTTTTTAGGTGAGGCTGGCTGGGGAAAGAGTGACTCTACTCCTTCGAGGAACCCATCCCCTGTGATCTGTGGGGAAACTCAATACACTCATTGGTTTTCCAAAGTTCTCTTTGACCAAGTGATACCCTGGGACCTTTTGAGAAGTGTAGACCTGAAGAGATGTTGGGAATTTAAGAGAAGAGGTGGAAAATGCTTATGTTTCCGCTGGGAAGGAATTTACCAACAGAGTCTGAGAGGTCATTAACTCATGAGAAATAATGTATGTCAGGGTAGCTGAACTGCTGTAGTAAAGAACTCAAACAATCTCAAAGGGGTTTAAATTGATTTCTTGATAATGATGAAAGGTCAATGAAAAAGAAAATTATGGAAATTTTGTTTTAATCATTGCCCATACACTTTCTTCTACTTACTAAATTCATTGGTCAATCTCACCCACCACCCCTTCTATTTCCCCATACGTCCCTTCCCCACATTGTTTTATCTGAAATATAATTATTTCTCCCTTCCTTTCCTCTCTCCAAACTCTTCCATATAGCTTTATCCGTATACACAGGACTCTCCCATCACTCCTCGCACTTTTTCAAATTCATGGCTTCTTTTCCTTCATTACTTGTTGTTACATACATATAGGATGTACTCATTTACTTGTTATTACGAATAGAGGTTCAATAAGTATGGATGAGCAGATATCTATGTGAGTCTATGGAGCCCTTTGGTTACATGACCACAAGTGGAATAGCTAAGCATAAGTGTTTTTTTTTTTTTTTTTTTTCGAGACAGGGTTTCTCTGTATTGATTTGGAGGCTGTTGGTCCAGCCTGGCCTCGAACTCACAGCGATCCGCCTGCCTCTGCCTCCCGAGTGCTGGGATTAAAGATGTGCGCCACCACCGCCCGGCAAGTATAAGTGTTTTAAAAAAGAAAGACAAATTAAACTGGAGTCCCTTTTCCTTCATCTCGTCTGGATTCAGGGTACTTTAATAAAGGGAACCCATTCATGCAGAAGCAGAAGTTCTTCAAGCTTGAATCTTCTAATAGAGAAGTGAAAGACAAGGCACTACAAAATTTCCTGACAAGGGTGACTAAGGTCTTTCAGTTGGGTTCCACACGCAGATGCAAAGCAACTTTCTGGATACTGTGCGCCATCTTGTGGCTTTTAAGACTCACAGCAAGGAAACACGTCAGTCTTGGTGTTCTGCTCTGTGACCTTAGAACTGCTTGAGTGCCCCCTGCTGATTCCTAAGTGCTGCTGGACAAGGAACTAAGGTAAAGCCTGGAGCCTCCTTTCATTTCAAAACGTGCCTTTCAGCTCTGATTGGAGAAGCAATCTGGGGATGGCTTCTCCTTTCATCCACCCCTCCCAGGAATACCGTGAGTTTGTATTAAAGAAAGACTGCCTGGGGATTCATCATCTTGGCCAGCTACTTTACTTTCCCCACACCCCAAGTTCTCCTCTGTCCTGTAGCTCCACATTCCATCTGAATGATGGTTTCTGGGAGGCTGATTTAGAACAGATACTGCAAAACTCAATCACCGAGAAGCCCTCTTTCCGTTTTCTTTTCTCATTATTATTATTATTATTATTATTATTATTATTATTTTCAACCATGGATGAGGATACAGAAGCATCGGGGCATCTGATTCATAAAAACCGGTGCAGGGAGCTGGAGGTGCTGCTCTCCCTCAGCATTCATGGCATTCTGTGATCAGTTCCCACCATTGCATAAAAGCAGCCCGTAATCCCGACAATCAGGAGATAAAGGCAGCAGAATCAGGAGTTCAAACCTCAGCTGTCTGGAGAGTTTCATGTCAGCTTCAGTTCAACGAGACGTATCAACAACAAAAACAAAAACCACAAATATGAAGTCTGGTGTAGAGTTCCGAAGTATGCCCGTTCACTCAGCTTTACTGACATTCCTGGCTCAGTAAGAATGAATTATATTCCTTATAAACACAATTCACACCCCAGAGCTTGCGGGGTTCTACACAGGGGGCTGGTGCAGTAGCCACTGGAAGGAGGGCAAGGGGAGAAATCCAGTTTACCAACCTAGACTTAGTTTGCTGATCCGTGCATCTTGTGCAAAATCCCGTGGGAACTGATGTTGTCTTGAAGCAGGAAGCAGCTGCAAGTTCAATGTCAATATTTTCTTCTTCTGAAAGAGCAGCTTCTCAGGTAGAAAGTGCTACCTCCTCTTTTCCACTACAAATCATGATTCCGGTAAATCAATACACCTGACTTAGCATGTGCCTGGGTAGATAAAGTTTATGAGAATAGATTGAGGCAGAGAAGAAAGATAGCCTTTGATCCAACAACAAACTTCCAGTTACATCCACCTCTACTCCTCCCCCAGACTCTAACACTAACTATCCTTCTCAAATTTCTGCTTCACCACACTGTTACTATGCTTTATTTTATTTGTTATGTGTATATATGCAGCGTATGAATACTTGGTGCTTGTGGAGGTCAGATGATGGAGTCAGATCATCTGAGACCTATGCTATATGTAGGTGAGAACGGCCATGTGAGTGTTGGGAACAGAACCCATATCCTCTGGAAAAGCATCAAGGGGTCTTAAACACGGAGGTATCTCTTCAGCTCCCAAATAATTACCTTTGACCAGTGAAGTTGCAATCTCAGAGCACACTTTGGGAGATATAATCAAAGAATTAACTCATTAATACTGATCACACTGGACTAGTTCCATCATGGAAGGCCTGGGACCTTGTTGCTAGTGGCTGAGATCTTTATACTGGGTGTTATTTTGCTTTATAGACAAATGGACTTGCTATGAAATCCACTGCCTTGTGAATTACCCATAATTCCTTCAAGATCATGCAGTTACCCACACAGTGTTGCTTCTTGTTAGGCAGCTCACTGAGAGCAAATGGACTGTGCTGATGGACCCACACTGGAAATCCATTGGTTTTACCATATTTTCCACCACCCATGAGTCAGGAGAATGGTGGCTTGGCCTTTTGGAGAATCAGTTATTATACCACATAGATGTCAGTATATTTATGGACTGGAGCAATGTCCTGAAAGATTGTATATACTATATATCAGCATCCAATCTGTGGCACTGTCCTTCCTATATGTAGGATTCATAGTTCCAGGAATGAAGAGGGAAGAAATGGGAGTGACATAGCTTACCACTAGACCTAGGTTCCCACTAGTAAAATGCTCCTTTCCCATCCCCATGAATTCATTTTCTGTTGATTTGATGTCTTTGTTATAAAGTAAGAAATGCTTCCACTCACAAATATAACCATTCCACCAAAGAAGTATTTTCTCTCATTTATCCTTCCTACATTGCCATTTTTCCTAATTTTGTTTTTATAAGCAGCGTAACTTGCATTCTCAAATCATTTCCCCCACTTGATCTCTTTTGACATGGTCTCTCTGTGGTTCCTGTGCTGGCCTTGAACTCCTGTGATCAAGCTGTCTTCCTGCATGAGCTACCCTAATAAAAGGGAATACAGGAGTAATCCACCATGCCCAGCTAGAATTTACCACTCTGGACTCCTCTTGTGCCCAATCTGCAGGCAGAGAAGAGAGCAACTGAGCTGGTTGTGGGCAATTCATTCTGATTACATTGAGAAGGTCATATATGGCGGAGAAAGAAGACTACGCGTGCAATGTAGGAGACCTCTTAGGGTGTCTCAAGATGACTGTGCACTTCATTATATGTCCAGAGTCAGGCAGATAGACTGGTGGCTCAGCTTTCCAGCAATTCAGGTTTTCCTCATCTACCCTGACCAAAAATTATGACTGGATAAGTTTGAAAAAGAAGACAATAATTATAAACCAGCACATGTGATCACATACATTCACTAGTAATAGGAATATTTCTCCCTGATATCTTACAGGTATATTTATGTGTGTCAATTTTTTTCTCATTTTATCTCCTTACTAACATAAATGTAGTAAGAAGAAGGGTATAAATAATAGGTAATTTTGCATGATTTGTTTTTAAGGATATGAAAGGCAATAGTGACTGTCAATAGGACTCTGTATCTACTTCTGGGCAAATGTTAATGGATTCATTTGGTGTATGGAGGTGGAAGTATGAATGGCTGTTCTCTTTTTATAATATTAAATATGATTTATAGAGATGTATACATGAGTGAAACTGACAAGGAAAGGTGGGGATGGCTAGCTGTATGTGTCAGTGTTATAGAATATAATAAATGAGTCATTATTACTTGAGAGCTTTACATTCTTTCATTTTTATCATTGCCATCAACTTGACTTAAAGTAAAGAAAACTGTCCTTGATGGTCTGGGTGTACCAGAACCAATCAGTTGAGGGGATCTTATGACTAGAGAGAAAAATCTAACCGTGAGATGAAGCATTGGCAACACATCTTTCTAACTATCAATAGTCACGGAAGAGTCCCATAGGTTGTCTTGGGTCTTGGAGAACCAGATGATCCATCAAGTTTTGACTGTTTAGGTCAAGCATGAACATTTTCTGGCTCTTCTAATAGAAGGAATGCTCTGATGTAACCTGTTGGCATTAACCTGTTCTGTTTACATGTGAAAAGTTTCTTTCTTCATACCTGAGGTCAAATCAGCCCAAGAGCAGTTCATCCCCAAGTTCTTTGCTGTCTAATATCTTGGCTGAAATCATAGAGCCTGTGGCTAGACACTAAGATCTGCAACCATATCTTACAGCTCATTTTTCAGATGAACACAGAGCCACAGATGCAGAGCGTAAGGACAGAGAGAGTTTCAGAATTCCCAAAGGAAGTGAAAGATCTTGGGTTGATAATTGTGACAGCCTCACTTATCAACAAAGTTGGAAGCAAACTTGCCCACAAACATATTAGCTGAGTATAAATCTTCTGGACACTGAAATATGCATCCAGTAGACAAATGGCTGTGTAGACACATTATTAGTACAATGTTCTGGATTTTTATTCCCTGGCTTTTGCAGACTCCTAATCTTTTGTAGGCCTAGAACAGCTCAGAGGGCTATCTCAGAATCACTAAGGAATTTCATCATGAAGGAGATGTGATGATTGATGTACTTTCCCCTCTTCGTATGTTTTACACAGTCAACAAAATTCCTCATGCCACTCAACCAAATTTTTACATGGACAGTAAGTGCCATTATTTTATTAATTCTTAAGAGTTCAAAATTCCTATTTCCTGTGGTATATGTGGTTTCTAACTCCCACACACATTATATTTTTCCTCATGACAATCCCACTTTAATTCTGATATACTTATCTAATTCTACATTCCTATTAATTTCTTTTCCTCTCTCAGAGGGGAAGTGAGTTTTTTTAATTAATCATTGCTTCCACATGTGACAATTGTAATCTCATAGTCTTACTTTGTCATCTGTATAGTGCTATATATGTTTTACGTTTTATGTCCTCAGAGGAAGTGTGATTTAGTCAAAGGTTGACCAGCACTTCAGGGCATTTGAATAGGAATTGTGCTTCTGAAAGACAAGGTAATGGCATTAAAAGAAGTGACTTCTGAATGTCTGGTGTGATACTAGACAGACAAATGCTGTTTGCTTTCCATGTGGCAGATACTGAGTCCCAAGCACCAGAATTGTTTGTTTTCCATGTGGTGGATATTGAATCCCAAGCACCAGAATTAGAATGTGGGAGTTCTTCTCTGCTGCAAAAAATGCTTCACCCATGACAGAGTTTGCATCTAAAAGTTTACCTGATAATCTTTGGTTCTCAGGCAGTTTTTCATTTTATCTGCTTGCTTCATGCATTTCTAACATGCCTTTCCTCATTGCCACAAAGGTAGCCTTTTTTTTCTTTCATTATTTTTATTGAAAAGTTTTTTAAGTCTGTAACACCATCTGGGGCAGGACCTATACCTTCCCCCATGTGTCCAGGCTGAAACAGCATCCCTCCAGGTTGAATGGGCTCCCAAAGTCTATTCGGATGCCAGGGATAAATACTGATCTAGTATCTGAGACCCCAAAGATTCCCAAGAAGCAGAGGCAGACACCCACTGCTAAACACTGAACTGAACTCCTGGAAACCAGTTGCAGAGAGGGAGGAGTGATGAGCAAAGTGGTCAAGACGGAGTTGGTAAAACTTACAGAGACAGCTGACCTGAACAAGGGGGAGCTCATGGACCCCAGACCGATGGCTAAGAGGCCAGCATGGGACTGATCCAGACCTCCTGAAAGTGGGTGTCAGTGAGGAGGCCTCCACAAATGTAGTCTTAAGATACATTTCATTGATGGTTTACATTTTAGGCTATTCATTAGACTGTCCTAAATATGACAAATAAAGGGTTAGTGTCATTCAAGTCTGGCTGTATTCCTTGGTCCAGTTAACAATAAATAATCACGAGTGTTTCTTTTTTTAAAGAAGTAAGGTATGCTGTAACCTAGGGATGCATTTCTACAGTAGCATGTTCCATGCAATTGAATGTGAAACAGTAGCATTCATGTTTAATTGTGAACAGAGTATGGAAACACAGAAACACATAATCAAAGCCATGCTCGTAATCAGTGAATAAAAAATTATGATAAGAAACAAGTGGTTGGAAGGTCATTGTGACATTACTGTGTATTTGCTAATTCATTAGATTCTGGAAAGTTTAGGAGAGAAAACTTTCCAGAATTTAGATGTGAACAGTCACAGGGTATTAAGTGCATCTTGACAGGTTCAAGTCATGATTTACATAGCAAAAATCCAAAATAGTTGTCTTCTGCTTTGTAGCTTGCTAAAGCTTCCCCTGGCTCGTCTTTGTCACTAGTCTCTAATGTCACCAGCTAAGTCACCCATGTGCATCAGTCTGCATTGCTTTCTTGATTGTGTAGCATGGAGCATGTGACTGCAAGAGGAATGCTTACAGTTAATTGAGTTTTGAGAGGTTGCCTTATTAATCATGCATAAAGACTACAGTGGTGTGTCAACGACTTAACTTCTTATGAAGTCAGCGATAAAATCAAACTATGCCTATGGAAGGAATAATTTTCCTACAAAAGATTAACATTAACATGTTTTTGGTATATTTTCCACACAGGATGAGACTCATGAAGTCATATATACTGCAGAGTTAAGACCCTTCTGTTGTGCTTTTAATTAAATGGATTATTTAGGTGTGTGAATTCACATACACTTTTAAAGAGGTATCATTCTCCCCTTCCTCCCACTCTTCCTTCCCACTCTCTCCTTTTGCTTTTTGTCATTTTTTCCACACACCAATTGTCTTCTTGCATCACTTGTTTTGTTGTATTTTTCTTCATGAATAAGTATGTTCATCATGATGGTCATGACTTCAAAAGGATACAAGCTGTGTCCTATCATTATGTTCCAAAGCAATAGTTTTAGTATGGTCCAACTTATGTATGGTGACTCATATCTTTGTAAAATGAAACTAGATGGCATTTTATTCAGGTATCCATGATAGTATTTTTTTCATTTCAAATTTATAGGAAAAATGTGTTTAACTTGATATTTCAAAATGGATCCCATCAATTGCATATGCAGTTCTTAAGTACTTCATTAAAAATTCATGTGTCATAAGAATATCTTTGACAATTTAAGTTTTAATAGTTTTTATATTTTTCTGTAGACATATACCCTTTCTGAACATTTTTATACATTAAAAGATATATATGTGTGCTTTCAGGGCATTCTAAAATGTCTTGCAATGCCTATTTAAAAATATATGCATATATATGTAATATTTGAGATTGCAATACAATTACAATTCCTTGCTTATATTGAAAACAGATTCTTTTTCTCACATAATATAACCTCACTCCCTTTCTGTCTCTCATTAGAAAAGGACAGGTTCTAAGAGATTATATTGAAATATGACAAAATAAATTATAATAAGATAAAACAAATACTATTACATAAAAGTTAGTCAGGAAAATCCAACAGAAGAAAAAGAGCCAATAAAAGGGGGCAGGAGAATTGGAGACCCACTTATTTGCACACTCAGGAATTCGATAAAAGAGTAAATTGGAAACACACACACACACACAATCCTTTGATCATGCTGATTTAGAAGGCCCATTTACTTGGTGTCTTTCACCCCCTATAACTCTGAAATTCTTTCTGCTTCCTCTTCCCATGGGTTTCACTGACCTCTGAGGGGGAGGAATTTGATGGTGACATCCCATTTAAGGGCTGAGTGTTCCAACTTCTCTCTCTCTATGCAATGTCTGTTTGTGGGTCTCAGTGTTTGTTCCTATTTGCTGGAGAGGGAAGCTTCTCTAAGAATGACTGAACACATCACTGATCCATGTGTATAGCAGAATACCCTTAGGAGTAATTTTTATCACTTTTTTTCTTTTTGTTGATGAGCATCATTTGGTTGTACCCAAGATCCCTAGGCTATGTTCTTTACTGGTTCCTGGTGACTGAAAACAGTGCAGGTATGGGTTTTTTTTCGAGACAGGGTTTCTGTGTGTTCTTTTGGAGGCTGTCCTGGAACTAGCTCTGTAGACCAGGCAGGTCTCCAACCACAGAGATCCGCCTTCTTCTGCCTCCCGAGTGCTGGGATTAAAGGCATGCACTACCAATGTCCAGCGCAAGGTATGTGTTTTAACTCATGTAGTGGACCTTAACTCAAATCAGCTATTGTTTGATTATGCTCACAGGCTTTGTACACCGTTGCCCTTAGTGTATTTTGTAGGCAGTACATCATTCTAGATAAAGGGTTTTGTAGCTGGCTTGGTTGTCTACATTTCTTTTTTTGGTAGCATGAAGGAAGGCCTGTACCAAAGATGCCAGAACATGAAGGCTGTATGTGGGCACTTTCTCAACTTCTCTGTGTTCAATGATATGTGTAGGTGTTGTGCCACTGGAGGTTTCTTTCTCACCTGTTCCTGCTGCCCTTCAGCCCCAAATAAACACACAGATGCTGTATCAATTATGAAACTGTTGGCCAATGACTTGGGCTTCTTATTGGCTAGCTCCCACTAAATCATTAACCCATATCTGTCGATCTATGTATTGCCACAGGGCTGTGGCTTACCCACAATTCAGAATGTTACTTCTTAGGCAGCATGACATCTCTACTGTGCCTTTCTCCCCAGCATTGTCCTCATCCCTTAGCCCCGCCTATCTTTCCAATAAGAGAAATATATATAAGAACATCCCCATCAGGAATGGGATGTTGTCATTTTGTGGAAATCAATTCACTGCTTTGGTAATAGCCTGGGTGGCTTTGCAATTCCCATGAATTTCAACCACTCAAATACATGAAACTCAGTCTAGGTACTGGAATTTCAGTTGGCAACAACAGATGACCAGTTGGGCCTCTGTCTTTTCAATTATTTGGTGATTTCACATAAACCACTTTTTTGTATGTATGCATTTCATGAATTTCCATTATATTAGGCTTCCATACTTCTCTTAAATATTTTGCTGTCATTCCCTGTATTTCCCTATATAGGGAATGATATACTCCATTCCCTCCCCTTCCCACTTGGTCCCCCCCATCCCAATGTCCCATACATCCACAATTGTCTACTCTATTTCCCTTTCCTAAATCTGTTTGTTTTCTCTAATCCCTTACTCTACACCTACCCTTTGTAGTTCTACAGATCACACTTTGGTTATCATTGACTTAACTCCCAATATCAACATGTGAGTGAGTACATACCATATTTGTCAAGATAGATTTTTCTAGTTCCATCTTTTATTTGCCTGCAAATTTCAGGATGCCATTTGTTTTTAAAGCATCGAGGAATACTTGTGTAAATGTGCCACATTCACTTTATTCATTCTTCTTTTGAGTGACATCAATGTTGTTTCTGGTTTGTAGTTATTATGTTTTGATCTGAATTTCCCTGATGGCTAAGAATATTGAAGATCAAGTGATTTTGAGTTTCCATTACTGAGAAATTTTTGTTTAGACCCACAAACAGACGTTTTGCAGGGAAGAAGGGATATATATATATATATATATATATATATATATATATAGAGAGAGAGAGAGAGAGAGAGAGAGAGGTTGGACACACATTTGGAACACACAGTTCTAAATGGCTGTCTCCACCAAATCCATCCCTTTAGAGCTCAGGGAGCCCCATAGAAAAAGGTGGCGGAAAGAGAGTAAGAGCCAGAGAGGGTGGTGGATACCAAAAGTTCAAAGCCCTTTGAGTCAACTGAGCAAGGTTCATATGAACTCACAAAGATTGCAGCAGCAAGAACTGCATCCGTGCAAACAGATCTCCATACAGCGAGCATCCAGCGAGTCGCGCTGCACGCCGACGGAGCAGACATGGGCAGAGCGATAGTGGTCAGACTGGGGCTGGGGTTGCTGCTTATGATGGCACTGCTCATACCCAAGCAGATTTGTTGCAACCAAACATCTGTTGCACCGTTTTCAAGTAACCAGAGTATCTCTACTTTCCCAAATACAACTAATGCCACCACCATAGCAGGTGGCAGTGCCCTGCAGTCAACAGCTAGTCTCCTCATCGTCTCACTTTCTCTCCTACATTTCTATTGTTAGAGACTCAGGCCAAGAAATGTCTCTACTCCCCCATCTTCTAGACCCAGCCCAAATGGTAACCACATGTCTAGTGTAACCCGGAAAAAACAGGTCCACATCAAATCTACTATTGCCACACCTCAACAGAAAACATTGAGAATTTATGTGAAGGGTATTATGACAGATGACGAATGCCAATATTGAATCCGATGGGGTTTTATGTTCAAGATGAAGAGATAACAACCAATGTTGACGACGTGATTTCCTTGAACGAGGCTTAGGAAATGTGGACACTTACTCTATCTTTAAATGAAGCATAGGATTTATGTAGAGATAAGGATGGGATGTAGAATGAAGATTCAGTTTTAGTTGGCTCATTACCTGTGAGGCTATAACACAGCTAGGTGACGTTAAAGGCTTCTCTGATGCTATTTATGTATATGTTGGAAGGAACTATTAGGTGTTACTTTACATCCTCAATGTATTGTTTCATTACTACTAATTTAATATGCTAAACTCTAGTAAAGCTGTCCTTTTGGAACTGAACATTTTACCCCCTCCTGTGGCTTTAAGTTCAACATTATACTTGACCTTTATAATTGACATGTGCCAGGCAACTATGGATTGGAATCCACCCTCAAATCCAGCCATCATTGAATAAATCTTATTTCAAAAGTAAAAAAAAAAACCCAAAAACAAAAACAAAAACAAAAAAAAACCAACAAAAAAAGAACTGAGTTCACATTGGTCTGAACCAAGTCTTCCATATATTTCTTATAGCTTCTAGCTTAGTATTTCCTATGGGACTTTTGAATGTGTTAATGAGTGGGTATCTGATTCTTGTGCCTGATCCTGGGGTGTAGTGGCATCCAGACAACCTGATCTTCCACCCAAGAGAGATAGAGCCCACCCAATGATTTGCCTTCCAGTTCTATCTGTACAAGAAGCCATGACCAAAGGGGTGTGGACACTAACACAAATACGCTCGCAAGGCTAGATGACACTACACTGGGGCTCTTTTCCTTCTGTTTGGTTGCCTTTCCAACCTCAGTGGAAAGTTTTTTGTTTTGTCTTATATTTTTTACAAGTACTATGCTTTTATTTATTTTTACATTTTAATTAATTTTTATCTAATTAAAAAAATCTTTTTTCCATGTTCTTTTTTCCTTTTTTAAACTTAAACTAGAAACAAGTTTGTTTTACACATCAAATCCCAGTTCCCATTCCCTCCCCTCCTCCCCTGCCCCCCACTGACCCCCTATTCCTTCTCCTTTCTGCTCCTCAAGGAGGATGAGGCCTTACATGGGGAATCTTCAAAGTCGGTCATATCATTTGGAGCAGGGACTAGACCCTCCCCCATGTATCTAGGCTGAGAGAGTATCCCTCTATGTGGAGTGGGCTCCCAAAGTCCATTCATGTACTAGGGATAAATACTGATCCACTACTAGTGGCCCCATAGATTGCCCAGACCTCCAAACTGACATCCATGTTCAGGGGTCTGGAGCAGTCCTATGCTGGTTTCCTAGCTACCAGTCTGGGGACAATGAGACCCCCCTTGTTTCTGTGGGTTTCTACAGCCTTGTCTTGACACATTTGCTCATCATTCCTCCCTGTCTGCAACTGGATTCCAGAGCCTATCTCAGTGTTTAGGTGGGGTGTCTGTTTCTGCTTCCATCAACTCCTGGATGAAGGCTCAAAGATGGCATATAAAGTAGTCATCAATCTCATTATCAGAGAATGGCATTTAAGCTAGCCCCTTGACTATTGCTTAGATTGTTAGTTGGGATCAACTTTGTAGATCTCTGGACATTTCTCTAGTGTCAGATTTCTCTTTAAACATATAATGGCTTCCTATATCATGGTAGCTCTTTTCTTGCTCTCCTCTATTCTTCCCCTGACTCAATCTTCCTCCTCTCTCATGTCCTCCTCTCCCCTACCCTGTGCTCCCAATTATCTCAGGAGATCTTGTCCCTTTCCACTTTTCTGGGGCACCATGTATGTCTCTCTCACAGTCTTCCTTGTTTCCTAGCTTCTCTGGTGGATTGTAGGCTGGTAATCCTTTGCTCTATGTCTAAAATTCATATATGAGCGAGTACATACCATGTTTGTCTTTTTGGGACTGGGTTACCTCACTCAGGATGGTTTCTTCTAGTTTCATCCATTTGCCTGCAAATTTCAAAATTCCATTTTTTTCTGTTAAGTATTACTCCATTGTCTAAATGTAACACATTTTCTCCATACATTCTTCTGTTGAGGGGCAGCTAGGTTGCTTCCAGGTTCTGGCTATTACAATTAATACTGCTATGAGCATAGTTGAACAGGTGTCCTTGTTGTATGAATGTACATGTTTTGCTGGATTTTGTGATAGACTGATTCCTATTTTCCTGAGGAATGTCTATACTGATTTCCAAAGTGGCTGTACCAGTTGGCACCCCCACCAGCAGTGGAGGAGTATTTCCCATTTTCCACATCCTCTCCAGAATAAAATATCATTGGTGTTTTTTATTTTAGCCTTTCTAACAGGAGTAAGATGATATCTCAGAGTTGTTTTGATTTGCATTTCCCTGATGGCTAAGGATGTTAAGCACTTTCTTAAGTGTCTTTCAGCCATTTTACATTCCTCTATTGAGAATTTTCTATTTAGTTCTCTACCCCACTTTTAAATTGGATCCTTTGGTGTTTTGGTAACTAGTTTCTTGAGTTCTTTGTATATTTTGGAGATCAGCCCTTCAGATGTGGGGTTGGTGAATATCTTTTCCCATTCTGTGGGCTGCCTTTTTGTCTTGTTTACTGTGCCCTTTGCCCTTACAGAAGCTTCTTAGATTCAGGAGCTCCCATTTATTAATTGTCCATCTGAGTGTCTGAGCTACTGGTGTTATGTTCAGAAAGCAGTCTCCTGTACCAATTCGTTCAAGGGTACCACCTACTTTCTATTCTAAGAGGTTCTGTGTCTGGATTTATGTTGAGTTCTTTGATCCATTGGGACTTCAGTTTTCTGCATGGTGATAGAAATGGATCTATCTGCATCCAGTAATGCCAGCACATTTTTTGAAGATGCTTTCTTTTTTCCATTGTATAATTTTAGCTTCTTTGTCAAATATCAGGTGTTTGTATATGTGTGGGTCCATATCAGGGTTTTCAGTTTGATTCCATTGGTCTACCTGTCTATTTTTGTGCCATACCAAGCTATTTTTAGGACGATAGCTCTATAAAAGAGATTGAAGTAAGGGATGGTGATGCCTCCAGAAGTTAATTTAATTGTTCAGAGTTTTTGGGCTATCCTGGGTCTTTTGTTTTACCATATAAAGTTGAGAATTTTCCTTTCAAGGTCTGGGAAGAATTGGACTGGGATTTTGATGAGGGATTGTATTGATTCTGTAGATAGCTTTTGGCAAGATTGCCATTTTTTACTATGTTGATCCTACCTACCCAAGAGCATGGGAGATCTTTCCATTTTCTGGTATCATCTTTAATATCTTTCTTTAAAGACTCAAAGTTCTTGATATATAGGTATTTCACTTGTTCATTTAGCATTACCCCAAGGTATTTTATATTGTTTGTGGCAATTATAAAGAGTGATGTTTCTCTCATTTCTTTCTCAGCCCATTTATCTTATATAGTAGGACTACTGATTTTTTAAATTAATCTTGTATCATGCCACTTTGCTCAAGGTGTTTATCGGCTGTAGGAGTTCCCTGGTAGAGTTTTTCAGGTCACATATGCAAATAGTGAAAATTTGAATTCTTCCTTTCCAATTTGTATCCCCTTGATCTCCTTTTGTTGTCTTATTGATCTAGATAGAATTTCAAGTACAATATTGAAGAGGTAAGGAGAGAATGGACAGCCTCGTCTTGTTCCTGATTTTAGAGGAATTGCATTGAGTTTCTGTCCATTTAGTTTGATGTTGGCTGTTGATTTGCTGTATATTGCTTTTATTATATTAAGATATGTTCCTGTTATCCCTTATCTCTTCAAGACCTTTATCATGAATGGGTATTAAGGATTTTTAATCATTTTTTTATTTTAATTTTAAATAGCTTGTTTTACATGTCAATCCCAGTTCCCTCTCCCTCCCCTCCTCCCGCACTCCCTTTCCCCTCCCACTCCCACCCTATTGCCAAATCCTTCCACATAGGGGATATCTAGAGTCTGTCATTTCACTCTGAGTAGGGTCCAGGCACTCCCCTAAGAGTCCAGGCTGAGAGAGCATCACTCTTTGTGCTATAGGCACACGATGACTGCTTGTATTCCAGGGATAGACACTGATCCACAGCTCAGGATCCCATAGGTTGCCCAGGGCTTCTTGCTGACACTCACATTTGGAGGGTCCAGATCAGTCCCATGCTGGCCTCCCCACTGTTGGTCTTGGGTCCAAGATCTCTCACCTGTTCAGATCAGCTGTCTCTGCTGGTTTTGCCAGCCCATTCTTTGCCAATTTGCTCATCACTCCTCTCTCTCTGTCACTGGGTTCCTTGGGTTCAGTTCAGTGATTAATTGTGTGTTTGCCTCTGCTTCCATCAGTCACAGGATGAAGGCTCCCGGATGGGTATAGACATCAAGTTCATTATCAGGAATGGGCATTCGAGGTGGTCTGTCCACCATTGCTTAGCTTGCCAATTGGTGTTATCCCTTTAGATCACTAGAGGTCACTCTGATTCCTGATCTGTCTTCTATCCTATGATTCCCTCTTCCCCCTATTCTACCCCCACCCACTCAACTTCCTGTTCCCCCATGACCAACTCTCTTCTTCTTCACCCCCTCTCTTCTTCCCAGCTCCCACTCCCCCCCACCCCTCGCCGTGTTCCCCATCCATTCAGAGGATCTTGTCTCAATCCTCTTCTCTTGGGTACTATGCATATATGCATATCTTTTAGGTTCTTTCCTGTTTCCCAGACTCTCTATCAGTGGAAGTGCAGACTGGCACTATCCTGATCCATGTCTAAAATCCATATATGAGCGAGTACATACCATGTTTGTCTTTTTGCGACTGGGGTACCTCACTCAGGATGGTTTCTTCCAGT